ATATGAATGAGAGAGCGTGATCAACCACAGCTTTACTGCGGAAAACTGCTGGACCCCCCCTCCCTTCCCCCCGGCAAAACCCCCCCCCTCCCCTAACCCCCCCCCTCCGGAAAACCGGGGAGGGTCATTACCGATTCGAACCCCCCCCCCCCTCCAGAAAACCAAGGGGGGTCACTACCGGTTCGACCCCCCCCCCTCCGAAAAACCAAGAAAGGTCACTACCGGTTCGACCCCCCCCCTCCGAAAAACCGAAAAAGGTCACTACCGGTTCGACCCCCCCCTCCGGAAAACCGGGGGGGGTCACTACGGTTCGAACCCTTCCCCCCCCTTCGAAAACCGGAGGGGGGGTCACTACCAGTTCGAACCCCCCCCCTCGAAACCGGGGGGGATCACTATTATACCGGTTCGAGCCCCCCCCTCGAAAACCGAGAGGGCCACTACCGGTTCGAACCCCTCCCCACGCCCCCCCCCACGCGCACCGCCAGCAAACAACTCTGGGCCCCTACCACCGTCCGCACCACATCCCCCACTGCTGCCCCAGCACCACTGTCCTTACCATCGCTGTCCCCACTGTTCCCACCACCGTCACCACTGTCCTCACCATTGCCCCCACCACTGTCGCACTGTCCCCATTGTCCCCACCACTGTTCCCACCGCGGTTCCACTCCCCACTTTCTCCACGGCCACAATCACTGTCCCACTGTCCCCACTGTCACACTGTCCCACTGTCCCCGCCGCTGTCCCACTGAGCTGTCCCACTGTTCCCAGCACTGTCCCCACTGTCCACACCACTGTCCCTACTGTACCTGTCACATTATCCCACCGCCGTCCTCGCCACCGCCCTCACCACTGTCGCCACCACCACTGTACCCTCCACTGTCCCACTGTATCCACCACATTCCTACTGTCCCCACACCACTGTCCCCACCACCACCGTCCCCACAACTGTCCCACTGTCCCCACTGTTCCCACCATTGTCCCCGCTGTCCCCACCAGTGCCCCCACCAGTGTCTCACTGTCCCCACTCTCCCCGCCACTGTCCCACCACAATCCCACTCTCCCCACTTTCCCCACGGTCCCCACCACTGTCCCACTGTCCACACTGTTCCCACCACTGTCCCGCTGTCCCCGCCGCTGTCCCACTGTGCTGTCCCGCCGTCCCCACTGTCCCCATCACTGTCCCACTGTCCCCACTGTCCCCACCACTTTCCCCACTGTTCCACTGTCCCACCACTGTCCTCAACACCGCCTTCACCACTGTCCCCACCACTACCGTCCCCACCACTGTCCAACTGTCTCCACTACTGTCCCGCTGTCCCCTCACCACTGTCCCCACCACCACCGTGCCTACCACTGTCCGCACCACTGTCCGCACCACTGTCCCGCTGTCCCCACACCACTGTCCCCACCACCACCGTTCCCACCACTGTCCGAACATCCCCACCATTCTCCAACTGTCCCGAGGAGCGGGCATCGTTTGCCGGCGGCGAGGGGGTGGGAGGGGTTCGAACCGGTAGTGGCCCCCTCCGGTTTTCGAAGGGGCGGGGTTCGAACTGGTAGTGACCCCCCCCGGTTTTCGAGGGGGGGGGGTTCGAACCGGTAGTGACCCCCCCCTTTTCATGGTGGACTGGGGGAAGGGGGGGAGGGGGGGGTTCGAACCGGTAGTACCCCCCCCCCCGGCTTTCGAGGGTGGGGGGGGGGACGGGTTAGGAACCCCCAGTGACCCCCCCCGCTTTTCCACCAGCAGCGGTAGAACACGCCCTTTCAAATACATAGACACAAATAACAGGATCCCCCATCTGTTCCGAAACTTGTTCTTGTTTTTTTGTCTTCCGCCCCCACTTCCCATATGTTCCCCCTATTTTCTGGGAGTCGTTCCCCTCCTGACTACATGCTTGAGACCCCCTCTTTTTGAATCGATCTCTTCCCAGATGGCCCCAAGCTGGCCCCCGAAGGCTCCCAAGAGTGCCCCAAGAGGGCCTGAGAGGTGACCAGGAGGCCCAAAGCTGCCCCCGATAGGCTCCCAAGAGACCCCCGAGGCCACAGGCGGATCCACAGAGGCGCCCACCTACGCTCAAACAAGCTTCCGAGACGACCTAAGAAGACTCCAAGAAACCGGCTCCATGCTCCACTGCACGCTCCCCCACATCCCCGATCAGGGCAACTCGCCTGGGCATCGTTTCTGGATGGGCCGGTGGGATTAGGCGGAGCGCCTAGAGTTACGGCTCTTCCTTGCCATGGAATGCTCCTTTTGTGCCCTCGGGCCAGGGGCTCAGTGGAGACGAGCACGAGCTCGGGGGCGGAAGCACCGGCCTGGAATCGACGACACGCCGCCACCATATCGGCTGTGCCCGATGGCCCGACGGGGCAGCTGCACGCCCCTGGGCAGGAGGGGGCCGCCGAGCCCCGGTCGGCGCTGCATGGGCGACCGTCTGCTCCGCGGGCGCCGACGTCCGTGCCCCGAGCCCATCCACCCACAGCCGTGGGCAGGATGGGGCCGCCGAGCCCCGGTCGGCGATGCACGGGCGACCGTCTGCTCCGCGGGCGCCGGCGTCCGTGCCCCGAGCCCGGCCAACCCCCAGCCGTGGGCAGGATGGGGCCGCCGAGCCCCGGTCGGCGATGCATGGGCGACCGTCTGCTCCGCGGGCGCCGACGTCCGTCCCCCGAGCCCGGCCAACCCGCAGCCGAAGCGACGACGACGCGTGCGCTCCACCTTCGAACGCCCGCGGCGGCGCCGCAGCCCCGACGCGGCGCGCAGATCTCGACCTTGGGCCTGCCGCCCCCCTTCCGCCCGGCAGCTGCCGCAGCAGCGGAGGAGGAGGAGGAGGAGGAGGAGGAGGAGGAGGAGGAGGAGGAGGAGGAGGGGGGAAAGAGGAGGAGGAGGAGGAGGAGGAGGAGGAGGAGGAGGAGGAGGAGGAGGAGGAGGAGGAGTCACGAAACTTCACGCCTAATTAGCCGTCACCGTGCGACCGAGCCAGACTGTACAACCAGGGAGGCGCTCGGCCGCCCCTCGGCAAGCCCGCACGGGCAGGCCGCGCGCCCCACGCGCGAATGTCCTCACTCAGTTGCTGCGCCCTGCGGCCGCTGGCGCAGGTTCCAGCGAGCCCCACGCGTTCCACCTCGGCCTCCGTCAGGGGGGCGGGCCGGCCAATAGGCGGGTCGGTTGTGCGGGCCTTGGGGGCGCGCCCTGCTTTCAGGTTGGCGAGCTGGCATGGCTGCGTCTGCCGGCCAGGGCAGTCTTCCCGCAGCTTTGCCACGTGGCCATCGGCGTTGCGACCGCACCTGCGGCACCAGACCACCGCCGCAGTGCGCCACAGATGATGGCCCTGGCTGGGCCCGAGCGGTCGCCGGCTGCACAGGGAGCCGCGCTGCCGCGTGACCGGCGCAACGCTCGTTCAAGAGCGCCTGTGCTGCCACCAATCGCTTGCCGCACCTCTGGCACTCCCGCCCTCCACTGCGTCGGCGGGCTGGGACGTGCGCCTCCATCGCCTCTGCAGTACGGGGGTCGAGGGGCGGCGTGTCCGGCCGCCTTCTCGACGTCTGGCCAGCCGTCCGCCTCGCAGACTCTCTCGGTGAGCTCAGCAACGAAGTTCAAGAACAACTTCACCTTCTCGGCCTCCTCCCGGCAGACGCTCTGGACAAACTCGAGGAAGCCGTTGGCGCCCTCCTCAACGCCCTACCTGGCCCGCTCGTCGCCCGCAGCATTGGCGCGACCAGTGAGCAGCTCGCGGCCGTCCAGAGCGGCAACGGCCGCTGCTGACCTGTGGGCCTTCGTCTTGCGCAACTGGACGCCGTTCTGGCCCATGCCGAGGTCGTCGATCCTACGACACATGCTCCCCCGAAGATCTGCGTCCGGTCTGGCCGCGAACGCGCGCCAAGCTGGGACCGCAGCAATCCCGTCAAGACTGCTCTGCCGGTCTATGTGGAGCGTGATCGGCGGCAGCGCGTGCGCCAGGGCGCGCTCCACCGCCTGCAACTCCGCCCTAGCAATCGTGCGCTGCACGGAGAGGGAAACCGGCAGGGGCCCCCACACTGCTGCCGCGATCCCTATGGAGTCTGGGTCCAGCATCGCCACTGCCCAACCTGCTCGCCCGAGCCAGCGCCACTGCCCGTCCTTGAGGCTGCCGTGCGTGCCCACGTTCCCAGTCACCCGCGCGTCGCCGCTGGGGCACTCCCAGCTCTCGAGCATGTCCTGCGACTCGAAGCCGTGCCGCAGCCCAGAGTGGGAAGTGAGCCCAGCTGCCAAAGCAAACGAGGACGAGGAGAAGGAGGAGGAGGAAGAGGAGGAGGAGGAGGAGGAGGAGGAGGAGGAGGAGGAGGAGGAGGAGGAGGGGGGGAAGAGGAGGAGGAAGAGGAGGAGGAGGAGCAGGAAGAGGATAAGGAGGAGGAGGAGGGAGGAGGAGGAGGAGAGGAGGAGGAGGAGGAGGAGGAGGAGGAGGAGGAGGAGAGGGGGAGGAGGAGGAGGAGGAGGAGGGAGGACGAGGAGGGGGAGGAGGAGGAGGAGGAGGGGAGGAGGAGGAGGAGGAGGAGGAGAAGGAGGAGGAAGAGGAGGGGGAGGAGGAGCATCTTTTCCATGGAGGCCCTCCACGGCAGAACAAAAGCTGTGCGCTTAGCCTCGTCGGGCCGCGGCTGCTGCCTCCTCGCGCAGACGCATGCGATCGGCCAGTGCCTCCGTACCCGCTGTGGGAATGAGGCGCACACTCGCCCAGGAGGCAGCGCTGACCAGTGCCGCAGGAAGAAACACAAACTTGGTCGAGGCAGGGCATGTCGTGCCTGACCCCGCGGCCACCGTCTCCCCGGAGCTGTAGTGGGGATGGAGGCCGCGTCGAATGCGGGAGAGGGCTCCTCTGCCACACGGTCCTTGTACACCTTTGCAACGCACTACCAGCTTGAAACAACGCTCACTCGAATAAGCGCCGCGACGGAAGCAGAAAACAAATTCCTCGCACTGACCCGTCTGGCGGAAAGTGGTGCACAGGAGGTGGCCATGGGAGCTTGCTTCATCGCGCACTCGGCATATGGCCGTCGGGGGGCCCTTGCACCCGTCCATCGGCAGATCCGCATCGTAGCACACCGTGAAACACAGGTTGGGACCGCCGAGGGCCGCCGAGCGAGGGCCGCCGAGTGCCCTCGAAGGCAGCTGCGCGATGGCTGCCGAGGGTCGCTGGCGGCCGCCGAAGGCCGCCGAAGGGCAGCCGAGCGAGAGTCGCCGAGGGCCGCCGAGGGCCCCCGCGCGAGGGCCGCCGAATGCCGCCCCTCGGCCGCGCGCCTCCAGCCGACGCTGGCTGCTCCATCCTGGGCGGGGGCAGCATCTGGGGCGCTGCCGTCCGCGCGGCCTGGGCGCGCACCGTGCCCGCGGCGACGGCGACAACGGCAACCCCAGATACACGACGATTTTGTTATAGGACCTAAGCAAATGCAGCTGTGAGTACCGCAGTTCTGGATATCGTCCTAAGTGGAACTCCGTGCGGGGCAACGCCCGCATGCGGGCTGTGCCGCTGGGGCCTTCGGTGGAGCTCCCCATGGAACCACGAAACGTGTGACGGGTGCGCCGGAACGGGGGTTGTCGCGTACATGCTGGCTGCGCCAATGGGGCCTGAGGTGGCTTTCCCTACGGGGCCACGCAATGTGTGAGGGGTGTGCAGAGGCGGGGCGTCGCCGTCATGCGGACTGCGCCATTGCGGCCTTTGGTGGAATTCCCAATGGGACCACCATGCGTGTGAGAGGTATGCCGAAACGGGGTGTCGCCCACATGCGGGCGGCACCACTGGGGTTTTCGGTGGAGCTCCCAAGGGGCCACGAAACGTGTGAGGAGTGTGCTGGAACTGGGTGTCGCCCACATGCGGGCGGCACCAGTGAGGCTTTCGGTGGAGCTACCTTTGGAGCCACAAACGTGTGATGGGAGCTGCCGAACCTCATGGCGATCATGACCGCCACACATGTGATGATGATGGTGGCGATGATGATGGTGACGATGGTAATGATGGTGGATATGGCGATGGCGGCGACGATGCTGATGAGGCACCTGATGATGACGATGATGATGATGATGCTGACTGTTGTGTTTGTCATGATGGTGACGAAGCTGGCGCTGCGGATGATGACGATGCTGGTATGGTGATGATGAGGCTGCGGATGCTGATAGTGATGCGTATGATAATGATGATGACGGTACTGATGCGGACGATGTTGTTAATGGAGACGAAGATGGAGATGATGATGCTGATGATGGTGATCATGGTGGTGCTGACGATCGCGTTGTCCCGAAGAGGGGCGGCGCAATGTCGCGCTCGCCCTCCGCCCCTGCAGATGCCACCGTGCGCCTCCCTGCGCCTAGGGCTAGCCCCTCTCCTCCAGGCGCTCCCAGAAGTCCACCGCGCAAATTGGCAGAGGGGGTGGTGTGGCGGAGTCGCCATCGGCCTCCGCAGCCGCCGCCGCCATGAGCTCCCACTTGCGCATCGCCTCCACGCCGCGCTCCTCCTCGCGCTCGATCATGCCCACAAGCGCCTCCTCGGGCTGCCTGCTACGGGGGCCGCCCGCCAGGCACCCCGTGGCGATCTCAGCACGGGCGCTCCACGTCGCCATGCTGGTGCCGCGCTGACTTCCGAACTGTAACTGTTCACGCGTGGGCTCCGCTTCACCGCCAGCTCCTTCTCGCAACTGCCACTGCAAGCCAGCCGCGCCCCGCGTCGCCGAGAGCTCGCGCGTCGCGATCACGCCATGATAGCTGAGCTCCTTAACGAGCAAGGGGAAAGGCGGCGCCGCTTGCAGGGGGTCGTGGCCGCCCAGCTCCGTCACTATCTCGCCGTCGTGCCCTCCGTCGGCCCCGGCGGCCCTGACAGCTTCCGCAGCAACGACGCCCGCACCCGCGCGCGGGATGGCCGAGTCGGGCGGGGACTCGGCCAATCCGCACGGGCGGGGCGCCGCCCTCAGCAGGTCTGCCCGAGCTAGGGACGTTCACCCCGCTTACGGCGAGGCCAGCCGCCGACAGCGCGATGCGCGTCACAAGCCTGGGCCTCTTCTGGGCCTGGCGTAGCGAGCACGCCGTCGCCGCCCCCAGCGGCCAGGGAGCCAACGCCGCGTGGAACGCCACGTTCCTCCGCAGCGTGTCGACGGGCGACTCGATGGCTCTGCCGTGCACCATGTCCTTCAGGTGCACCGCCACCACCGCCAGGTGCTCCGCCGTGTCGGGGTCCCCCAGCGACTCCACGAACTTCTCGTACCGACTCCGCCAGCAGCGCACCGCCCGCGGCAGGTCGTGGACGAGCACGTCCCCCGACCAACGGGCCCACGCCTGGCCAGCTCGGCGCCTCTGCCGCCATGCCGCACACGGGCTGGCCACATCGCCGCCAGCGGCGGCCTCCAGCGAGGGGGCCACCTCCCACGCCATCACAAGGCCGCACCAGCCGCCCGATGGAAACTGTCCCGAAGGCTTGAGCCAAAATCGTTACGGATGATGATGATGATGATGATAATGATGATGATGATGATGATGATGATGATGATGATGATGATGATGATGATGATGATGATGATGATGATGATGATGATGATGATAATGGTGATGATGATCATGATGATGATGCTGATGATGATGATGATGATGATGATAATGATGGTGATGATGATGATGATGATGATGGTGATGCTGGTGTTGATGCTGCTGAGGATGATGATGGTGCTGAAAAAAGAAGGTGACGTTGATGAGAGGAAGAGGAAGGGGCAGCGGGAGGAATAACGAGGGGCGCTCTTCTCAAAACAAGGACCAAACACCACAGGATGGTGAGGGACAAACATATCCTTGGATAGCTTGCGACGCCGACGTTGGCGACAACGAGGATGAAGTCGACGGCGGCAGCGAACGCCCCACGGCTACGAGGCCGACGACACGATGACGTGGGCGTCGGTTCCTTGCACTTCGTGGATCGTCCAATGATGCATCTTGAACGATAGCCGCTCCTCGATGATAACGGAGATCGTTCAATACTGGCCAGATTTAGGCGTTCGGTGAGGTGAAATCCTGAACGCGCGCGCCGGCGTACCTGCCGTAAGTCCTCGACTGGATCTCTGGGGGCCCTCCCCCCCTTGGGTCCGAGGGCGGCTCCAGCGACTCCAGGAAAGGTAGACAGACAGACGAGCTCATCTGGAGGCCGTCCCAAGGCGGGACGCGGGGCGGAGCCTCAGCTCCATGACTATCCCCCCAGACCCCAGACCACCCAAAGTCTCGACCCGTTCTCCAGGACCGGCTTGTCCTCCTGGGTCGTTCTTTGCCGGCCCCGGGTGGCGAGGCCCCCCAGAGCCCGAAAACAGCAGAGAGCTGTCCGTCGCCAGGTCTTCCCTGCGCGAGGGAGCCTGGGCCTGGGTCGTCCTGCACCCCGTGCTGGCCCGCCCAGTCGCTGCAAGAGAGGGACGGCTCCGACGGCAGGGAGCTCTCCGAGGGCCGGGCAGGGAGGGCAGAGCGGGGCGACGGATCGGGGCGCGGGCCCCAGATCCCTTCGCGCCGTGAAAGAACTGCGAGGCGGGGGCATTTATCCATATCCACCGCCTGGGAACCGACGTCCTGGTGCCCCAGCGGGCGGTGGATATGCATATATTTCGGCCCCCGGGGGCCCGAATATGTCCATATCCACCGCCTGCCGAGGCTCCGAAAACTGACCTTCCAGGCGGTGGATATGGATAAATTCACGCCTCGGAAGAGTGGCCTCGGCCCCTCGCGTCGTGGACAAAGCCGCGCCGCGTCGAGAATTTCTGCCAATCCTCCGGCTTCGGGGAGGCCCTCGCCGGGCCCTGGGCCTGCCCACGGCACAGCTCGGGAAGAAGGGCCCGCCCCGGAGAATGGGTCGAGCCTTAAGACGGGTCTGTCCCCCTACAGGGGGTATTTTGGAGCAGAAATAACAAATACCCCAAAAATGCACCCAAATGGCATAAAATAATAAACATTATCCTGGCGAGTGACCCAGCCATGTGAAGTTGTGAGTGACGCAGTTGTGGGTATCGACCTCGGTGAACCTCTCTGGGGTCACGACGCGTGTGACGGGTGTGCCAAAATTGGCACGGGTACGCCATGCGGACGCTGCCACCAGAGCCGTCGGTGGAGCACCCTATGGGGCCGCGGAACGTGCAAGGGGTGCGCCGAAATGGGGGGTGGAACTGCATGCGGACCCTGCCACTGGGGCCTTCGGCGGAGCACCCTATAGGGCCACGAAACGTGTGAGGGGTGTGCCGAAATGGGGGGCAAAACCGCATGCGAACGCAGCACTGTGGCCGTCTGTGGAGCTCCCTATGGGGCCACGAAGCGTGTGAGAGGTGTGCCGAAATGGAGGTGGAACTGCATGCGGGCGCTGCCGCTGGGGCCATCGGTGAAACACCATATAGGGCCACGAAACATTCGAGGGGTGCGCCAAAATTGAAGTGGAACTGCACGCGGACCCTGCCACAGGAGGCCTTCGGTGAAGCACCCTATAGGGCCACGAAACGTGTGAGAGGTGCGCCGAAGTGGGGGTGGAACTGCATGCGGGCCCTGCCACTGGGGCCTTGGGTGGAGCACCCGCCGCGAAACGTGCGAGAGGTGCGCCGAAATGTGGGTGGAACTGCATGCGGACCCTGCCACAGGGGGCCTTCGGTGAAGCACCCTATAGGGCCACGAAACATGTGAGGGGTGCGCCGAAATGGAGGTGGAACTGCATGCGGACCCTGCCACAGGGGGCCTTCGGTGAAGCACCCTATAGGGCCACGAAACGTGTGAGGGGTGTGCTGAAATGGGGGTGTAACTGCATGCGGACCCTGCTACTGGAGCCTTCGGCGGAGCACCCTATGGGGCCACGAAACGTGTGAGGGGTGTGCTGCAATGGGGGTGGAACTGCATGCGGACCCTACCACTGGGGCCTTCGGCGGAGCACCCTATGGGGCCACGAAACGTGTGAGGGGTGCGCCGAAATGGGGGTGGAACTGCATGCGGACCCTGCCACTGGGGCCTTCGGCGGAGCACCCTATAGGGCCACGAAACGTGCGAGAGGTGCGCCGAAATGGGGGTGGAACTGCATGCGGACCCTGCCACTGGGGCCTTCGGCGGAGCATCCTATAGGGGCCACGAACGGTGTGAGGGGTGCGCCGAAATGGAGGTGGAACTGCATGCGGACCCTGCCACTGGGGCCTTCGGTGGAGCGTCCTGTGGGGCCACGAAACGTGTGAGAGGTGCGCCGCAATGGAGGTGGAACTGCATGCTGACCCTGCCACTGGGGCCTGGGTGGGGCACTCTATGGAGGCCACGAAACGTGTGAGGGGTGCGCCGAAATGGAGGTGGAACTGCATGCGGACCCTGCCACTGGGGCCTTCGGCGGAGCACCCTATGGGGCCACGAAGCGCTGTACTAGGTGGGTGAAACGCAGGAAGGGAGAAGGGGGAGGAGGGAGGGGGGCAGCGGGAGGAAGGTGGGAACGCGGGGCGCTGTCTCTTCAAAACGAGGACCCAACACCACAGGATGGTTGGGAAAAATCGTCCCCAGACTATTCTTTGACTATTGTTGTATCTTCCCCCTGTAGAGGGGCAGGCCCGACATAAGTCGAGCCCTCTGAGGCTCAACGCAGAAAACAACATCATGACGTCGGGGGTCTGGGCTCGGAGCTCCAGGGGTGGCTCGGAAGTTGGTGATCCTGTCGTCACTCGGACGTCCATTCTCCGTGCATGTTCGGTGATGTGCGACTGTCCTTTCGCAAGGTGATGCAGGATGCTTGTCGATGGTCCTCGCCGAAGGAAAAATGCACACGCCCGAGCGATGCCAAGCGACTGGTTTCGAAGCGTATTGGGCCACCCTTGGGCCTCGGGAGCCCTCCACAAACCTCCAGGGCAGTCCAGGGGCCAGAATAAAGGCCAGAAGCCAAACATACCACCCGCAGCAGGCTCGGTGCGTTCACCCAGCATCCTAGTACTCACGAGAAGGAAGTGACAGCTCACAGAGAGGAAGTCCACGGAACGTCATGGACAAGCGAGCTTGAACTCCTCTCCACGTCATCGTTCGTCTTCGGCCCTCCGCGTACTGTTTTTTTACACAGGATGCCCGGGAAATCCCGGGAAACGACTCTCGCTGAGGCGCCGGCGTCATTTTTTCACAAAATGCTGCTCTCGTTGAGGCGCTGGCCTCATTTCTGCTCCCGAATCGTTCCGAATCGTGCTCCCGCTGCAGCGTGGGCCTCATTTTCGGATCGGTGTTTGGCCTCCGTCGTTCAGGATGGCGTTCTCGCCCCAGCGCGGGCCTCTTTCTCGCGCGCCCATCCGCCCGCCACCACCGCGCCGCACCACCACCACCACCACCACCAGCACCACCACCACCACCACCACCACAACCACACCACACCAGCACCACAACACCACCACCACCACCAGCACCACCACCACCACCACCACCACACACCACCACACCACCCACCACCACCACCACCACCACCACGACAACCACGCACACACGCACGCACGCACGCACGTGCACCACCACCCACTACGCACGCGCGCGCGGAGCCACAGGTCCGCTACGACACGCGTCCGCGGATAGAGAAAATCAGCGCCATGGTAAGGGATGGGAGGGAGGGGTAGGACGTCAGATATGACGCGCGCGCACCTAGCTTGTCGTCTCCTCCTCCCCTTCCTCCTCCTCGTCCTCCTCCTCCTCCTCCTCCTCCTCCTCCTCCTCCTCCTCCTCTACTGGTTCCGTCTTCCTCCTCTTCCTCATCATTATCATCCTCCTTTTGATTCGCCTGCTCCTCATCATCAACCACCTCCGTCTCACTCCTGATCCCTCTCCTCCATCAGCCTCCTCCTGGAGGCGTAATCGAGAGAGCCATCACGCCTTGGACATAGTCCCACAACTCCCTGGAAGCAGCCTGAACGCTCTTACACCTCTAGAAACACTCGGACGTGCTGGCAAGTGTCTGCGATCGTAAGGTTGGTTGGACAGAATACTCATGATAATTGAAGTCAATGGCGTATCACGGTGGCCCTCCAGACACCTCAGAGGCCGAACAACACTACGTTCCGAGGCTGGGTTATACAGGACGGGTCCCAGGAAGCAGCGTTCCCTCAACCAGTGGGAGCCGTCAGTGCCAGGCTGTGGGGCGTCCTGGATGACAGGTGTCCTCCTCTGTCTCTCTCCCCTCTTTATGCCTTGCCTGTCATCCCACTCCAACTCTGGAATTGTTATAGGCGGGGTCGCGCGAATAGAGTCAAACCTGGGCCAGAAGACCATCCCTCGATAACATGAGACCCTCTGGCGGCCCAAACAAACGGAACATCCAAGGCCCCCCTCGGCGGCGCCTCCGGCGCAGCCCTTGCCGCGCTCCGCGCGCCAGGAAGGGGGGGCCAGCGCGGATCCAAGACATCTGCGCGGAGCGCCACCACCTTCTGCTTATGGCGTATTCCCACTGTTTCGAAGAATGCGCAAGAGCATCCAACAAACGCAGAGGACACGAGGATAGCCTCCCCGAACCGACCCCGATCTCCTACAGTCAACCCGTATAGTAAGGATGCGCGATAAGGATGCAAGGGCCTTGGACACCTATTTCGAAGCTTTCCGAGCGGGGCGCGGCCAACGAAAGTGGCCAAGGATGGGCCGAGGAGGCAAGGATGTAAGGGTACCCTTGGCAAGGTTGCCCATCTTTACTATGCGGGCTGACTGTAACTCGGTCCGACTGACTGACCAGACGACCAGGAGCCAAAAAGAGCAAAAGGTCGGGGGTTGCGAACGGTGCCGCTGGCCCAAGGTGCCCCCGGCGCTTCGCTCTATCCTGAAGCCCCCTGGGGCCTCCTCGCAACTCCTGGGGGAGGAGGAGGAGGAGGAGGAGGAGGAGGAGGAGGAGGAGGAGAACGAGGAGGAGGAGGAGGAGGAGGAGGAGGAGGAGGGTAACGAGGAGGAGGAGGAGGAGGAGGAGAGGAGGAGGGAGGAGGAGGAGGAGAACGAGGAGGAGGAGGAGGAGGCGGAGAAGGAGGAGGAGGAGGACGAGGAGGAGGGCCCTCGGGGCGAGGCGCGCCCGCGGCCTGGGACGGCGCCGCCTGCGGCTGGGCCTTTCTGCCCCTGCGCTTCTTGGACCTCTTCGACGTGGGCGCCGCGTCCTCGGGGGGAGTGGGGGAGGGGGGCGTTTTCGGTGGCCCCCGATGTAATCCCTATCCCCCCCCAACACCACGATTTCTGAGAGGGGGGGGTCACTTCGTTCCGGAGCTCCAGAGCGGGGTGAATCCCCACCCCCCTTAGAAGTCGTGAGTGGTGGCGGGTGGGGGGGAATTTCGGTGGCCGCACATGTCGATCCTACCCCCCCACACCCCTCGATAAGGGGGGGGGGTCCCTTCCTTCGGAAACTCCAGCCCCACCCCCCCTTAGAAATCGTGGGGGGTGGGGCTAGGGTTCACATGTAGCCGCCTACTCTGGACGGCCTGATAATCGCCCCCCTCCTCTCCTTGGGTTCCGGGCGGGGATGGGCGCGTGCAGTCGGGGGAAGGGACCGGGGGGGATGGCAATTGCAAAGGGGGGGGAATTTGGGACGCGCGTTGAAGGGCGGTGGTGGGGGAGATGGAGACGCTCCGTCGGAACGTCAGTCGCCCTCACCCCGATGATTATGTAATTCAGAACAGGAATGGTGGGGCCTGTCAGCATCGCATCGGGAACTCGAATCGGATCGGAATGTGCATCGCATCGGGCCGCATCGCTACGGAGTCGGAATCAAAGCGGGTCCGCCGCGCCAGGAAACACAGCGTACGCTGTGCAACCGTCGGGTCGTCGGAACATCAGAATCGAAGCGGCTTGGAGCAGCCGGAATCGATACCGGATCGGGTCGATCGGATCGGCGTGGACCCTGAACTGGAGGCAAGACAAGGAGGATGGGGAGCAGGGAGGAGGAAAGACTATTTGGTGTTCACGGCTTTGGTCCGCTTCGGGCCTGACTGGAGGTTCGGAGGGACCCGTCGCGGTGCTGGATCACGGCAAGAACGCTTTCGGAGGAGGACGAGCTATGCCTCGTCGCCAAGCGTTCCTCCTTCGGTCCCAGACCTTCAGGTTTCTGTGGAAGAGACTCACGAACATGCAGGCGTGTGTTTGTGTTTTTGAAACATGTGCTGAATCAGCAACCAGGGCCGTGCTTGCAGCCAAGTTGGACAACTGTTGACCTTATACATACACCTCTGCTACTTTCACGGGTCGCCTTTGGCCCGTCAAACACCTTTGGCCTACGATTCAAACCAAAATTGCATCAGACCTTCACGAATTAAGTCGGACTTCATCGACGCATCCGCTGCCGAGTTTATGGGGACTCCATCGGAGATGCCGTCGCCCAGTACCCTACCATAACATTTCGCTTGTTACAAATCTGCAACACTCGCTACACCACGTTAGTTACACAACTTTACTATCACTTTTCCGCTACGCTACCTGCCGCCATGAGGCAGCTCCCACTAGCCCAGCGATTTAAGAGTAGCCATGTCCATGTTACGTACATGACTCGTGTTAACACTCCTTGTGCCATTCATAATTATACACCGGCCCTGCGCTCAGATTTCAAATTACGGCTACATCGCCGACCTGACTTGCGACCACTGCTTGCTGCACTACAGCTGGAAAGGCCGCTCGTACTACTGCATCTGTGGTTGGACAGAGCGCTGGACCATGCGTACTTCGTGCGACGATCCCTGGCCAGAACGACGAGCGCGCCTCGCGCTTGCGCGCTTAGGCTCTGGCCGATTCCGAAGACGGTATCAGGAGGGATGGGGCCACCACCGTTGTGTTTTCGAGGTGCCCGCCGCGTGCGCTTGCCTGATAGTCTGGCGGCCAGTGCGAAGCTGAAGGGGAACACGAGTCAGAGGCCAGGCGGGTCGGCCCGGCGTCCATTCGGCCTGTCGGCCCTCCCCTGTTCTGGGCGCTCCATCATTTCCCTACCTCCGCATCCTCTCCTTTCTCCTCCTCGTCATCCGCCTCTTGCGTACTCGTGCTCGTCTTGTCCTGCGTGCACGCTGGGGCATCCTCCTCCTCCGTGCTCGTCCTGGGCCTGCTCTTCCTCCCTCCCGCGTGGCCCCCCCTCATTCCTCCGGCCGATCCTCCTCACCCTCATCTTCCTCCTAGTTCGCCTTCTCCATTCCTTTTCCTTCTAGACAGCTCCCTGTCGCATTCCAAAGCTGGTCGAAAGGGCGGGCCGGACGTTCCCGCTGAGCCATTTATGAACCTGATGCTTAACAACTGGCAACAATCTCACAGATTGAGGGCGGGTCGCTTCCACAATGTGGCTCTCTCCCTAGCGCCGCGCACATTAATTTCCAACAGTTGCAAAAGCTTCACGGATTGAGGGCGAGTCGCTTTCAAAATGTGGCTCTCGCCTTAGCGCTGCGCACATACGCTGTAAAACTTTGGAAGAGTTTTGCGGATTGAGGGCGGTCGTTTTCAAAATGTGGCTCTCGCCGTAGCGCCTCGCACACTTGTTCTAATAAATGCAACAATTCCACATATTGAGGGCGGTTCGTTTTCAACAAGTGACTCTCGCTTTAGTTCCGTGCGCATGTTCTATATATATATATATATATATATATGCAAGACCTTCACAGACTGAAGTCGGGTCGCCTTCGCCGTAGCGCCGCGCACATTCGTCCTTTCAAAACTGCAGGAGGTTCACACACTGACGGCGGTTCGTTCTCAAAGTGTAGAGCTCGCCTTAGCGCCGCGAACTTGCGTTTTAAGCATTTGCAAGAAGCTCATTCATTCTCAGGGGTACCGTACAAGAAGCGGTATTTGGAATGGTTTTTGGAACGGTCACGTTGACTCGCGATGCTGCAATCCCAGGAATCATGTTCGGGCACGATTCCAGATCGCCAAGATCTAACAGTCAGGTTGACCAGTGGCGTTGAATTCCTGAGAATTGTGTTTTGGCGCGCTTCAAAGGTAATCGCACGTTTGCCCCCCAACAATGCAGTTCCCTAAGTGGAATTGACCCGTTGTAGTGGCTTATGAAGAGGGATCTTGGAGGGAGGGTGTATTTCAGCATCGTTGATGAGTCTTGGGTTTACACTGGTCCTCCTCCTCCTCCGCCTCCTCCTCCGCCTCCGCCTCCTCCTCCTCCTCCTCCTCCTCTGCTCGCGCGCGGGCGGCGCTGGGCGGCGCTGCGGCGGCGGCGGCGGCAACGACAACGACGCGGACGACGACAAGGGACATAGACGACGACTACGGACGCCACGACGATGACGAAAGAGGGATGAGTGCGGAGGAAGACAGAGGACAGGGGGAGCGCGAAGGGAGGGAGGAGGATGGGGGGAAAGAGGGAAGAGTGCAAAGGAAGAGAGGGAGGTGGGATTGCGGAGAAAGGAAGGAGTCCAGAGAAGGAGGTGGAGAAGGGATTGCGGAGCACGGGCGGACGGAGGGAGGCGTAGAGGGGGAGGGCAAAAAACGAGTGACGGGGAGGAGGAGGGAGGAGTACTGGATGGAAGGAGGAGTCCCTTGAGAAGAGGGCCCGGCGACATCAGTGAGGGGGAGGACGACCCTACGACGCTCGTGGAGACAAGGGTGTCGCTGCAACTCGTGGGGCTTATGTGGCTTCGTCTGAAAACCCAATCTCTGCGGCATCAGTGGAGCCGTGGGAAGAAGAGGATGGCGAGGAAGAGGTGGAGAAGGAGGCCCCTTGAGGCCGTCTTGGGGCTTCCTGGGGGCCTCGCCTCCTGGCTTCATGGGGCCTCCTGGGACTCTTTTCGGGGCCCCCATTGGGCTGCTTGGGGGGTCCTGGGGCCTGCTCGGGGCCTCTCGAAGGCGCCTGGGGGCGGGTGATGGATCGCATGGCCTTTCGAGGACGGCTGGGGGCCGTCCTCGTGGAGTCGTCGGTCCCTCTTCGGGCGATTGAGGGCCGGCTTCGAGGTCCACGGAGCCGTCTTGGGGCCTCCAGGGCCGTCCTGGGCACCTCCCTGGGCCATCTTGCGGGCCTCCTGGCGGCCTCTTAGGCCGTCGTGGCCCGATCTTGGGGGCCCATGCGGCTGCCTTGGAGCGTCGGAAGCCCGAACAAGCGACAACGTGGACATCATGTCAAAACCTACAGAAGGAATTATCTTAGCCGCCTGGAGGTCCTCTTGGAGCCCTCTTGGAGCCCTCTTGGGCTGCCTTGGGGGCCTGTTGACCCGTCTCGGAGGCATCTTGTTTTGTCTTGGGGCCCTCGTGACCGTCTTGAAAGCCATCTGGAGCCATCGTGATGTTGTGGATATCATCTTGGGCGCCTTGGGAGGCGATGTACAGTCCCCCATCAGCGGGCCTGGCCCCAAATCGCTCCGAGAATGGGACCTGGACCTCCGGGGCTACAGTTTGACGCATTAGGGGGTGGGAGAATGTTGAACACGTGTGCAGCCTCTGGGCCCAGGGACTCGGACGCCACGAAAACCATACGTACAGATACATATTTCGATTGCTACAACTTCGAGGTGGTACTCGTATATTCTGAATGCAAATATGTGTCTGCCCCATCAGCACGAACATGGCAACACCTACTATCAACGCTGCTGGAAATGCAGCTAAACAATTCCATCGCGCGCTCTGGGTGCGTTGTGGAAACGAATCCATCAATCAGCCTCCCGCTTGCCTCTCCTCCTTCCTCTGACAGGGACAAACACTTACTAGTCCGCCCCCCTTTCTGAAACTCGAATGTGGCCCTTGTTCTGTGACCTCCATTGACCAGAATGTGACTTCAATTTCGTGACGACCGCTGTTTGATCTTTGAACCCAACACGGCATCACTGTTGTACGCTTGCTCCAAACTGCGACTTCTAAATTACAGTCTTCCTGCATGAATAGCATACCGCCCCAATGTGGGCTGAACGTGGCCCGATGACCGCAAAGTTGCCCCAATAGGACAACATGACATCAAGATGTCAGCATTCGCCCATGGCCCCATGACCTGGCCACTTGACCGAGATCGGCGTGCCATCCTGATACATCTGCTGTCTTTTGACGGCCCCAGTCCCAGAAACGGGCCCCTGGAGGCCAGAAACTGGTGGGCACCTTCAGGCACGAGTCCTGCTACGCTTTGAGGCCCAGGTCTCCGCAGAGGTTTCTGGAGGTCACCAAGTGAAGCCTCTTCTCAGGCGGGGCGAATGGGACAAAGAGGGAGATCAGCTGCATACAGCTGGTGTCAACGCAAGGAGGCGCCAGGGAGCCAGAACGTATGATGGAAAGTGCAAGGCGGCGGGGTCAAAACCAGCTGCATCCAGAAGATGGCGTACCCTCCCCCCCTGTACCCACCCCTGTCATCCTCCCCGATCTTCCTGTCCTCGAAAAAAACAACTGCGTAAAAATAGACTTTCGGAAAGCTCCGTGCGGATCCCTCGGATCGGCGGTCGACCCCGCTTAGGAGCACGCCATGGGCGGCGCCGCAGACGCTGCCAGGGGAGCCCAGCGCCGATCCCAGAAATCCGCTCGAGACCCCGACAATCCATGTCGATGCCGATCTGTTCTTCGCCTCCTGCCCTCGCGACCCCCTCCTCTTTCCCCCCTGTCGTTCTCTCTCCTTTCACCCTCCTGAGATCCGACGTCGCGAAACATTGAAACACTGTAAAAAACGACTAGAGCCCGAGATCCGTTCTTTTTGCATCATTTTCCTAGCCGGATCAATCCGTGAGGGTCCCAGAACACTAAACCCGGCGAAAACGCAAGTATCTCGGGGCCTCCTGTCGCCCTCATCGATCCTCCTCGATCTCCCCGATGCTCCTCGGTCTCCCGGTCCCCTCCTGCCCGAGCGTGCCCAGACATCCGGCGCCGTGATGTTCGTCATCGAACGCCTCCACAGAGGCATCGGCCTCGTCCTGAGGCCGGCTCCTGACCTCGGTTCGTTGTCTGACGGCCACGGGGTCTGGCGAGGGCCCCGAAGGGCAGCAGGCTTCCTCCCTGGTCGCTCCACGACGCGAGGATGTCCGGGCGACCGCTCCCGAGCGACACGCTGAGACCCCTGGCGGCGCGCGGAGATCGGGTACTCCCCCCCCCTCTCCAAGTGCGAGGCGGTACTCCCCCCCCTCCATCGTTTTCTCGTCAACCTCCCGTCTTTTCCTCCTCCTTCTCGTCAACCTTCCCGTCGTGTTCCTCTTCTCGTCGTTCTCCTCATGCTCGTCAGCCTCGTCCTTCTCCTCCCCCGCGCGAGGAGGGCGCGCCGAGTTTCTGGTTGCGCCCGAGGGGGGGGGGCGCCAGGAAGGGGGGGGGGCGTCCGCATCATGCCCCGAGGCACGTGCGCGGACGCGTGGGGGCCAAGGCGCGCTTCGAAAGAAGAAGAAGAAGAAGAAGAAGAAGAAGAAGAAGAAGAATAGCGCGCGAGGAGGAGGAGGAGGGGGGGGAGGGGGAAAGGAAGGGGGAGGAGAAGGAGGAGGAGGAGGAGGAGGAGGGGGAGGAGGAGGAGGAGGAGGAGGAGGAGGGAGGAGGAGGGAGGAGGAGGAGGGGGAGGAAGAAGAGGAGTAGTAATAATAATACTAATACTAATACTGGTGATACTCATAAGTATGATAATCACCGTAGCACCCCGCAGATGCGGATAAGAGTGATTGGGCGGTGGGAACGTCGGCAGTCTGCGAGACTCTGTGTCGCGGGAGGGTCGCGGCTGGGTCGCGGGTGGGTCGCTGTTGGGTCGCGGGGTGGGTCGCGGGTGGGTCGCGGGATGGGTCGCGGGTGGGTCGCGGGATGGGCCGCGGGTGGATCGCAAGTTGGTCGCGGGTGGGTCGCGGGGTGGGTCGCGGGGTGGGTCGCGGGGTGGGTCGCGGGTCGGTCGCGGGGTGGGTCGCGGGTGGGTCGCGGGTGGGTCGCGGGTGGGTCGCGGGGTGGGTCGCGGGGTTGGTCGCGGGTGGGTCACGGATGGGTCGCGGATGGGACGACGACAAGAAACAAACAAATAAACAAACAAACAAGTAACAAAAACCACAACAACGACAACAACAACAGCACCAACAACAGCAGCAACGCAATAATGCAACAAGCAGAATCCTCACCACGGGTCCTCACTTCAGCCACACACCCAGGGACCGCGCGCCCCCCTCACTGTGATAAGAAGAATAGAAAACACGAATACTTACCAAACAAGATGGAACATACTGAGAAGAGGAAGCATGAGAGGAAGAGAACGAGAAGCAAGACAACTAAATATGATAGCCACGCAGAACCAGAAGAAACAGAGGGTGGCCATGTAGCCGGGGCAGATCTGATGACCCCGACCACGACCCCCCCCCCCGAAGAGCGCCCCCTCCTTCACGGAGAGATCCCCCCTTCGCGGGGATCCCCTACCCAGCGAGGAGGCCTCCCCACCTCCTGGCCCGCCCGCCCCCCGGGAGGAGGCCTCCCCTCCAAGGCGCTCGACGCTCCTGCCTCACTCCTGCCGCGCAGCATCCCGACTGGGGCGCGGGGCGGGGCCGTGTCCTCGCCCCGCTCCGCGCCCATGGCGTCACTGGGCCGCCAGGGGTGGGGATACGTACTCCTCCTCCTCAACCTCCTCCTCCTTCTCCTGCTCCTCCTCCTGCTCCGCCTGCTCCTCCTCCTCCTCGGTCTCATCGTCCTCCTCCTCCTCCCTCTCCTCATCCTGATGCTCCTCCTCCTTCTACTCTTCCTGCTCCTCCCGCTCCTCCTCCTCCTCCTCCTCCTCCTCCTTCTCCTCCTCCTTCTCCTCCTCCTTCCGTCCTCTTCCACCTCAGCCTCCTCAATTCATTTTCCATATAAATCATTGCTCCCTGTCGCACCCCGAGGCCAGTCTTTAGGGCGGGCCGGGCGTTTCGCCTGAGACTGCCCCACCACTTATGACGATGAAGCTGAAAAGTTGACATCAGTTTCACAGATGGAGGGCGTGTGTTCAAAATGTGGCTCTCGCCTTAGCGCCGCGCACATTCGTTTCAAACAAAAGCAAAAGTTTCACGGATTGAGGGCGGGTGGTCTTCAAAATGAGCTTCTCGCCTTAACGCCGCGCACATTCCTTCTAAAACTGTGCGAGAGCTTCACGGAATGAGGGCGGGCGGTTTTCAAAATATAGCTCTCGCCTTCGCGACGCGCGCGTTCGTTTGACACAAATACAAGGACTTCATGTATTGGAGGCGGGCCGTTTTCAAATTGTGGCTTTCGCCTAAGCGCCGCGGACATTCGTTTCTACAACTTGCATGAGCATCACGGATTCAGGGCGAGCGGTGTTCAACATATAGCTCTCGCCTTCGCGCCACGCACATACGTTTGAAACAATTGCAAGAGCTTCACGGGTTGAGGGCGACTCCTTTTCAAGATGTGGCTCTCGCCTTCGCGCCGCGCACATTCGGTGTTAAAAGTTGCAAGAATGTCACGGATTCCCATTGGCAGCATACCAGAAAGGGTTTTCTGGAAAGGGTCATGATTGTGAGTGCAGCAGTTACGTTGATTCGCGGTGTTGAAGTCACTGAAATGTCGTCCTGGCACGACTCAAGATCGTCAAGACACAAAACAAGTCAGGTTGATCCATGGCGCGAGAGTCCAGATGATAATGTGTTGGCATGCGTCAGTGTCTTCAAACGGCTGTCTTCCAAAGAGGCAGTTCCCCCAGTGAAAATGAACCCTTGCAGGGGCCTGTGAAGAGGGAGCTTGGAGGAAGGGTTTATGCCAACATCGTTGCTGACTCTTGGGTTTACACTGGTCCTCCTCCTTCTCCTCCTCCTCCTCCTCCTCCTCCTCCTCCTCCTCCTCCTCCTCCTCCTCCCCTCTCTCGCGCAACACTGCGCAGCGATCCCGTATCCGCTCCTCCTCCTCCTCCTCCTCCATTGTTTTTTCCTGCCCCTCCTCCTCCCCACTCTCGGGCACATACCAAGATGGATCGCGGATCCGCGGATCCGGCGCGCGGGCGCCAGCTGCACGGGATCGGGGAACACACCTCCGGAAAAAGCTCGTCTGGCGATGGGGCGCGTCGATGTCGCATGTCAGCGGGGCCCGTCGCTACCCCACGCGCCTCAACCCACATGCTCGTTTCCACGACACACCTCCTGCTCCTGCTGAGGCTCTTCCTCCTCCTGCTGCTGTGGCTGCTCCTCCTCCTCCTGCTCCTCCTCTCTCCTCTCCTTGTCTCCCCCTCCTTCTCTCCCGCGCCTGAAGACGCCGCAAGGCCGTCGGGGGGGAGGAAAGGGCGCAGCTGGGGAGAGTGGGGAGAGGAGTGAGAGGAGGAAGAGGACGAGGAGGTAGGGAGTCCGATTGTACAGGTGCATTGAAGTTTTGTGTATTACTGATGCCTCTGGAAGCCTCTGGAAGTCTCTGGACATCTCTGGAGGATCTCGAAGCCAGGGAAGTCGCACGACACGTCTTCTATACGTACGATCTGGCACACCATATGATCCTCAATAATGATATACTGGGCTTTGCCATGCGGTGTGATTTGCTACGCCGTGTAGAGCCGACCGCGCCTTCAGTACGATACTTCCCACATGAGGCCACTGCTGTGCTGAGACCACGTGGAACGCTTGCCAAACGCAGGCATTCCGAACAACATGTTGACACGTGTCAACACTTGAGCAGGGACCGACCGTCCCAGCATTCCTACAGTCTTATCACGAAATATTCTTCGAACCCAAACATGTTTTAATAACAAAAAAATGTTTCTTATAACATGAAACAGATATCTCAACCATACATGTTCTAAGAACATTTTGTGGGAACCACAAAAGAATCTTAGAACATTGTTTGGTGGGGCTATAGGCGAGCCAGGACGCTTCGCCACTGCTTGATGCACGTGCCAACACGTGCCAGCACGTGCCAACACGTGCCACGTGCCAACGCGTGTCAACACGTGCCAACGAGTGCCAACGCGTGTCAACACGTGCCACGTCTCCCTGGGGGTTAGGACACAGGCCACCACGTGCCCCAAGCACACGCGTCAAGCGCAGATTGGACATCGACCCCTCTCCGCACACTCATTTGTACGTCCGACGACTGCGTATTCGAAATCCCTGCGAGGACCAGGGCACGTGAAAACACATGCCGATTGTTCAAATGCCCGCGCGCGCGCCTGGAGTACACTGTATATCCCCACTCAGCGCACGAGTGTGAGGGATCCGGCACGCGCGTGTTCCACATCCACCCCCCCCTGGGGGCCTGGACAAGCCACAACACGTGCCGAATGCGCACACGCCAGACGTGTAAGACGTGCGCAGAGTCTGACTACCACTTGTTCGATATCCCCCTGGAGGCGACGTCATGAGAAAACGTCACGATCATGAATTCGGACGAGGAAGAGGCGGAAGAAGGAGAGGAGACGAGCGCAGAAAAGGACGGAGGACGGGAACAGAGTGAGGGAGGAGTGAGGAGTGAGAAAGAGGCCGCCTTGTCCGAGAACGGGCGACGACACGAGCTCCTACGTTCTGCGACACACTGAGAAGGGGATGGCGACGCCGACACAGCAAGGTCGCGGGACTCCAAACGGGGGGCTTCCAAGGGGGGGCGCCGCAAAATGACTGGAGGCACGTGCGTGGTCCATGGGGGAACCAGGGGGCGCAGTGAAAGAAGAAGAGGGTGCCGTCAAGCTTGGGGATATACCTTGGCTCCGGCCATGATGTCCACCCCCTACTCACACCAAGTTGGCAACGCCCACACGGGGGTAGCGCTGGGCGGTGGGCTTCAAGAAGGCGCCGGGGGGGGTCTTAGAAGGCAGGGGCCGTCCAAGGAGGCCCCGGCGGCTGTTGAAATTGGCCCTCCGGAGACCAAGAGGGCTTCCAAGAATCCGCCTGCCCTCTTGGAAGCCAGCCCGCCCTCTCAGGCGCACCCCCCCACCCTCGCGCCACCCCCTTTGATCGGGAGCGGGAAGCACACACACACACACACACATGTGTTTTCATATAGTTGCCCGGTGCCCCCTCGTTTTGCTCCATCCCCAGATGGCTTGATCCGCATATCGTCGCCCTGTTCGCAAACGCCTCGCCCGTCGCCTCTGGGGAGTGCAGGAGTCTATGCGTTCGCTGGAGCGGGGGGCGGGGTCGGGCAAAGGATGCCGCAGCTTCTGGGCCCGATAAACATTTTCTGGGTGATGGCCATGCTAGCGTGGTCTGTTCCCTCAACTTCAACGCCCTGTCAACTTGCTTTCGCGAACGTGCTGCGTATTCTGGTCATGTAGACTTTTTCCAGCCTGTCCCGAGGGCCCCAAGGGCGATTCCTGGCCGGGCCCGGACGGGGGCGACGCCCTGGAGAAAGGAGCGGGGACCCCTGCGATCGTCGCCCGCGGGTCTTAAAGTCATGATCCACCCCCTTGGGCGTGGCCAGAAGACCCGCTGCTCGCGCCGAGTAGAGGGACGCGTCAAGGGTAGGCGGAACGAAGCATGGAGAGTTTGAGCGAAGGTTTCGTTTCATGCCATAAGCTGACCTTTACCCGCCGGTCGGAAGAAACATTAAAAACAAAATGAAGTAGGAAGGCGGATAAAGTAGATTGGGCTCAGGCCCTCCCAGATAATCGCAAAACGCATCCAAACCATTCCGATTCTTGAAGCAGGGAGGTGCCAGAAGCAGATTTGGGTCTCCGGGAGTCCAAAGATACCTACCTTCAGCGACCGGCGTGTACGCGCTTCTCTCTGTCCTGACCCTTGTGGGAGTCGCCGACCAAAGGCAGTCCTTAGCTGCCCCGATACGCAACACGCAAGACGTAGCGTGTTGACGCGGAGCTCAACGCGGAGATCGAAAACGTACGCTTGGCGCTACGAGTTCGCCAAAAAAGTGAACCAAGACGCTGAACCAACACGCCGCGTGTTAACGCGCAACGTTTAGAACTCGGCACGTGCTGCCTTTCAAAGCGGGCGTATCAGGGCAACGAAAGGGCGGTCTGCCCTCCCCCTGCAGGCGGGCGGGGCCGACAGCGGAGACGCAGCGTGTTAGCACGGACGTTCCGGGCACGGCACCCGTCGGTCGGAAGAACTGGATGGCTAGAAGCGGGGAGTGGGAAGGCGTTGGAGGGCAACCCCCCGCCCCCGGAAGAGGAGGGACGAGGAACACCCCTCGAGCCTTGGAGGAAGGCGCGCAACGCAGATCGGGACCTGGGAGTCCATGAAGAGGCCTGCGTCCAAACGACCGACGGGCGCGTGCTGCGTACCACAACGGGCGTGCCCGGGGCAACTGAGAGGGGGCGCTCTGCCCTCCCCCCGCGGGCGGGCGGCCGGCATCCGAGGGCCGCGCCGAAGGACAGGCGGAGCGCAGCGGGGAGGGTCCCGGAGGAGGCTCCGCTGCCATCGCACAGCAGGAGGACGCCCGAGTTTCGGGCCGGGCGGAAGGGGGGGAGAGCAAAGGGAGGGTCTGAGAATCAGCTCACGTAGCTGATCTTCCCAGGACCTCCCAGCGCCGGGAGGCGGCCATGTGTCGAGGAACGGGCCCACCAGCGGGGCCGAAACCAGCTGCATGCAGCAGAGTTCGTAACCCCCCCTTTCCTCGTTCGGCCCGATAAATGGGGTCGGAGTAGATGGGATCGGGGGACCGCGCCGCATCGCCGGTACATCGGCGATACAGCGGCGATTTATCGGCGATGCACTGGCGATGCATCGTCGACGTCGGCGGTGCATCGGCGGCGTCGGCGTGAAGCAGATCGGGCTCCGCATCGAGCCGCATCGGCGATGCCTCGGCGATGCGGCCGCGATCCCCCGACCCCATCCACTCGGACCCCGCCCAGGAGGCCCAGACCCAACTTCACGCATCTTCCGCTGCCCTGACCGTGGTGGGCGACGCCCACCACGGGCAGCCTGGGGCAGCCCGGGGGGCGGGGCGGGGCGCCTGCCCCGCTTCCGGCCCTGGCGCGCCGCGGCGGCGGCGGCAGCCTGCGCCGCGAGGTCCGCGGGCTCGCCCGCCAGCTGGGCAGACTTGCCTCGCGGGGCGGCCCCCGCTCGAGGGAGGCAGCAATCGGGGGGGGGGGGGGTGGGCGGTGGGGGCGGCGGAACAGCGACCCTGAATCGGCGATGCATCGCCGATGGATCGGCGATGGGCGTCCGATCGTGACTCCGCACTGTCCTGGGCAGGCTGGGGCTATCGGGCCCCTATCGGCGATCAGTGAGCCGTTGGGTGTCGATGCATCTCCCCCTATGCCCATCCCCCGCTATCGTGGCCCCCGACCGCTGCTGAGAAGGATGAGGGGAGGAGGAGGCTGGTTAGGAAGCAGCTCCTAGGAGGTCTTCATAAGAACTGCTAAGAGCAATGAAGGCCAATTAAGGGCCCACCCAGAAGTCAGCGGGTCTGCGCCAACTTAGGTCGGATTATGCCGCATTTGGACAAGTTTTCGACCGCGGATACACCAGCGCCGACTCTGCATTGAACCTCCCAGGAGTTGCATCCTCAAGATGGGGCGGAGGTGCAGTAAAGGAGGAAGCGACGAGGAAAAGAAGAACAAGACAGAGGGGGACCGCAGGGTGGGACCGTTTCAGGAGGGGTAATATCGATCTGCAATCGGCGATACATCGCCGACAGATCAGCGATGGGCCTCCAGTCGCAAATCCGAACGTTCCGGGCGGGGTGGGCTATCGGGCCACTATCGGCGACGGATGTGCGATAGGGTGTCGACGCGTCCCCCCCCTGAGACTCTCGCCCCTTATCGTTGTCCCTGAAGGAGGAAGAGGGGGAGCAGGAGGAGGAGGACCCAAGAGGGACGACGTGGGTGACTGCGGTAGGGCCAGACAGGACAGCCAGGGCCCCGTACACGGGGACTCCCCTGTGAAGTCCTCCTCCTCCTCCTCTTCTCCTCCTCCTCCTCCTCCTCCTCCTCTTCCTCCTCCTCATCCTCCTCTTCCTCCTCCTCCTCCTCCTCCTCCTCCTCCCCCTCCACCTCCTCCTCCTCCTCCTCCTCCTCCTCCTCCTCCTTCACCTCCTCCTCCTCCTGCTCCTCCTCCTCCTCCTCCAAGATATTGGCGCACCCTGGAGCACTGCAGCCGCGGGCCGGAAAAACAAGTGGCACGCGTGCCCTGGCTCGTGCACCGAGGAGCTGCGAGGGACAGGAGGCTTTCGCCTCCTCCCTCCAGGAGTTTACCTCTGTGGCCGTGGTGGGGAGGACGAACGACGAGCGAACGAACGGCGACGACGAACGAAAAGAAAGAGGTCCGAGCGCCAGAGCACAGCTGTGCAAGAAAATTGACTTTCCATTGTCCGCTGCCTCCATGAGGGAGGCTGCAGAGCCCTGGCTTGCAGCGTCCCTCGGCTACACGCCAGAATGACCCTGGGCAAGAGTGGCCATTGGCGACCGGTGCGCAGCTTTTGGGGGGCCACGGGGGGCCAAACACAAGCGCACAAGACGCCGCGCCGCCTCGCGTTCGGCGATCCAGGAACCAGATTGGGCCCGCACCGAAGGTCACTCCAGCGAAAGGTCACTCTTACGTCTAGCCGACTCGGGGGGAGCACCCCGGACCTCCTGCGGACTGGTTTTCAATCGCGGCATGAGCTTCTTCAGTTTCTCGGCCGACCTTCGCGGCCTGATTGGGCCCCGATTCGTCGCTGCTCGCGTGTCTTGCTCTTTCGCTTCGTGCCCTTTATAGTTTCCGGAGCAGCCCACCGGTCGCTTTGACCAGCACCTGACCGACTCGCGTACCATGGCGCCCGCGGACCAACCAATTGTTCCTCAGTTCCGGCCTCCGGGCCCCAGGATCATCAACACGGGATCAAGTGGGGTTGGGACCTTGGGGGACCGCGGCTGCGAACAAAAACACACACACACACTGCTTCACAGCCGCGATCGCTCCACCATCACTGCACCGGAGTACGCTGAACAACAGGAGATCGCTGCACGCGGTAGCGTCGACGGTGGAGGATGGGGAACCAACGTGAACGCGATGTGCATCAACGATGCACAACAACAAGCCCACCCGTCCGCAATCACCTCCTCGCAGGCCCCTACCAAAATCGATCCCACTATCTATGTATCGGTAGCCGTATCGATCGGCCTCACTATCGTTTGGTATCCCTTTGTATCTATCGGAACAACCATGTGGACACAATCGAGACACCACCCGGACACCATCGGGACACTTTTAGGAGGGCGCGCCGCTGGATCACCCAAGGAGAGGGGGGGTCCAGAACCCCCCCCCCCTTTCCTTGATCCGTCGTCGGCGGACCCCCCCCCCTTCCCGCTCCATCGTCGGCGGACACCCCCCCCCCTTTCCCGATCCGTGGCCAGCGGACCCCCCCCCTTTTCAAAGGGGAGGGGGGGGTCCGAACCGCCCCCCCCATCCCCCCTTGAGCGTGAAATTCGGACCCCCCCTCCCTCCCTTTCGCCACGCCGCCCCCTGGCTCCGGAACCCGATCCCTACCACTCCTAACCCTAACCCCTACCCCACGCCTAACCGTAACCTCTACCCAAACCCCTACTCCAACCCCGAATTCAAACCCTAATCCCCACCCTAACCCCTACCCTAAGTCTCTAATCCTACAATTACTAAACCCTAACTACTACAAAACCGCTCGTTATGCAAACTGGCTCCATCTACTGCAAAAAATAGCATTTCCTGAGCATGCGTGCAGAAACTCTTGTATTTTACACTACAAAGTGCCCAGTCCCCGTTGCGACCCGGCTCCATCTACTGCAAAAAAAGCATTTCCTGAGCATGCGTGCAGAATCTCCTGTATTTTACAATGCAAAGTGCCGAGTCCCCGTTGCGACCCCGCTCCATCTATTGCAAAAAATAGCATGTCCTGAGCATGCGTGCACAATCTCCTGTATTTGACAATACAAAATGCGACCCCGTTATGTAAACCGGCTCCATCTATTGCAAAAAAACATGTCCTGCGCATGCGTGCAGCATCTCTCGTATTTTACACTACAAAGTGCCTTCCGTTGCGAGCCGATCCACCTATTCCAAAAATAGCCTTTGCTGCGCATGCGTGCAGAATCTCTTCCGCCCGACCCGACTCTTCCCGCCCGTTAGAGCACTCGCGTGCCAACTGGACCGCACACCAGTCGTCGCCGTCGTCGTCGTCGTCGTCGTCGACGCTGTATTCGATGTGGTTATAACGAGGGGAGAGATGATCTTTATGGTGGGGTGGCTTGCGGGTGGGAGTGACGGCCACCGCAGGTGGTTTCGCGGTCCAGGTGCACTCGTGGCCACGCCTAGTAGGCCCTAACCCGAAACCTTAACCCCTATCCGAACCCTAACCCCAACCCTAACCCCTGATCCTAACCCTGACCCCTACCCTAACCATAACCCTAACCCCTACCCCTAACCCGAACCCTACCCCTTTCCCCCAACCCTGGCCTTTAACCCTAACCCTAGTCCCTGACCCAAAAACTAGGTCCTAACCCTAACTCCTGACCCTACTCTAACCCTACACCTGACCCTAATCCCTAACCCTTACCCTAAGCCCTAATCCAACCCCCTGACCTCCAACCCTATGCCGCAACCCTAATCCCTAAACTCTACCCTAACCCCTAACCTTAACCCTAACCCCTACCCTAAATCCTAACACTAACATCGCCCCTAACCCCTACCCCCCCCTCTAACCCTGACCCTAATCCTGAGCCCCAACCCTATGCCCCAACCCGATCCCCTGAACTCTACCCTAACCCCTAACCGTAACCCTAATCCTTAATACCAACCCTAAGCCATAACCCCTCAACCCTATCCTAACCCCTATCCAAACCCCTACCCTAACCCTAACCTCTACCCTAACCCCCACCCTAACCCCTAACCCTGACCCATACCCTAATTCCTAACCGGGACCTAACCCCTCATCCTAACCCTAACCCCTGCCCTAACCCTACCTAACCTCAACCCTAAACCCTCACCCCGAATCCCTAACCCTAACCCTAACCCTTAACCTTAAGCCTAAAACCTAACCCTAATCCCTAATCCCAACCCAAACTCCTACCCGAACCCTGACCCATACCCTTAACCTCTACCCTAACCCGTAACCCTAACCCTTAGCCCGATCTTAAAATCTAACCCTAACCCCTAACCCCTAATCCTAACCCCTACCCTAACCCCTACCTCAACCCCAACCCTAACCCTACCCCCTAACCCCTACCTCCCCCCTCCGGCCAAAGGGGGGGAGGGGGGGGGTCCGAAATCGCCCCCCCCGTCTCCAGCGCCAAACGGTGGGGGGGTCTGGACCCCCCCCCCCTTTTCAAAGGGGGGGGTCCGAACATGTCCCCCCCCATTGAAGGGGGGGAGGGGGGGGTTCTGGGAGCAACCCCCCCTTTTCAATTACGAGGTGATCCACTGGCGCTCTTTCCACTATTGGGACACCATCGGGACATCATCGGAACACCATGTGGGCACCATGTGGACACCCATCGGGGCACCATGTGGACACCATGTGGACACTATGTGGACACCATGTGGGCACCATCGGATCACCATCGAGACACCATCGGGACACCATCTGGACACCATCGGGACAGCATGTGGGCACCATCGCGACAGCCATCGGGACAGCGATCGGGACACCATCGGAACACCCCCAATCCACCACCAACCAACTGGCGGGACCCCCCCGAGACACCGCCAGCTAACTGGGGAGTAGCAATACTTAGCCCAGTTTGGCATTACCCGCGGCGAGGTCATTCTGCTCGCACGCCCACGCAACTTCGCCTCGCCCGCACGGCCTCGCCCGCACGCGCGACGCGAAATCGAAACCGATTTGCCGGAGGGGGGTCTCCGTTCCACTTTGATCCCCCCCAATCTCCAAAGCATAAGTGGGTATTTAGCACCCCGCAGTTGCGGATAAGAGTGAGGGGGCGGCGAGGTCGTCGGCAATCTGCGAGGCTCTGTAGAAGCCCGCCGCAGGCGCCGATTTTTTTGCCAGAGCAATATGGGTAGGTCGCGGGGTGGGTTGCGGGTGGGTCGCGGGCCGGGTTGCGGGTGGGTCGCGGGTGAGTCGCGGGCGGGTCGCGGGCGGGTCGCGGGCGGGTCGCGGGGGGGGGGGGCGTGGGGAGGTCGCGGGTGAGTCGCTGGGTGCGTCGCGGGTGGGTCGCGGGGTGGGTCGCGGGTGGGTCGCGGGGTTGGTCGCGGAAAGTTCGCGGGCCGGGTTGCGGGTGGGACGACGCCAAACAACAACAAAAACAATAATAATAACAACAACAACAATCATTGTAGGACTCCTCGCTCTTCCACGCTCGCGTGCCACTCAACACGTATATCCAAAAAACCTTGATACCCCGCCTTTTCGTCTTCGATCGTACCCCCTGCGGGATGTATCTTTCTTTCATGCAACGTGTGTATTTCGTGCAGGCCCGAAGGCAGGGACAGAGAGGGATGGAAGGAAGGGACAAGGGGGAGGGAGGAAGATGGAACACGAACGCAAATAGCAGGAGGGGGGCTAGGAGCAGAAAGCATGTGGCAGGACCAGACGGGGAGATCGGGCCGGTAGACCCTAGTGGGCGGGTCGGGAAGGCGGGCCTAGGCGGCCAGGTCGACCAGGCGGGTTGCTGAAGCGTGCGTCCTGCATGAGTCGCGTGGAAGTCACGAGCAAAAGCGCGATTCCCCTTTACAGCCCGAAGGATCCCACAGCGAGAGCGTGATTGCAGAGTGTCGAGGGCGCGGCGTCTGAATCAACTGCAAGGATGTCCCACGCGAAAGCGTGATTCGTGCATTAAATTATGAGGAAGTCCTTCGAGGGAGCGCGGTTTGGGAATGAGTTAAGGGGAATAGCAGGCGGGAGCCGTTGTTGTTGTTGTTGTTGCTGTTGTTGTTGTAAAGTGGAGCCAAAGACGCAGTTTGATCAGAATGATCTGTCTATGGGAAACACAGCAAGCCCCGGGAGGGGCACTTCAATTGAAAGATATGCGAATGCGTGAGCCTTGTATAATTCGTCAGGAAGTCTCGGGCGAGAGCGCGATTCCTAAGTAAACCCTGGGGAACTTCCAAGCGAGAGCGCGAGTCCTGAATGGCGAGGGCGTGGCGCCTGGACACACTGCAAGGAAGTTGCATGCGAGAGCGCGAATTTGGGATAAATTGCAAGGGGGTCCCTAGCGAGAACGCGATTCCTGAGTAAATTTCGAGGAGCTATAAAGCGGGAGCCGTTGTCGTCGCGGTCCGGGGAGAAACAACTTTGTTTGAGGGGGAAGACTTCCTTTATGAAAATACAGGGTGCGATCCCCGGGAAGGGCACTTTAAATAGGGGGTAACACCTGTGACTGGAAGAGGATCAAAAATAATGAGTCTTCGGTGGTCGGATTTTCAATAATCAATTAAACACCGTTCGCTCTTATCTGCCTGGGTGCCACTCGACACGTACATCCCGAACCCTCGATACCCGCCCTCTTCGTTTTCGACCGTACCCGTTTTGGGGTAGATGTAGCTCACCTGCAACGTGTGTTTCACGCAGCCCCGGATGCAGGGGAATGACGGGACGGAGGGAAGGAATGGACAATGGGGAGAAAGAAGGAAGGAGCATGACTAGGATGTTGGGGCTAAGAGCAGAAAGCACGTGGCCGAACCAAACGGGGAGATCGGACTGGTAGACCCGACTAGGCGGGTCGGGAAGGAGGCCTGGGCGGCCAGGTCGGCCAGGCGGGTTGCTGAAACGTGCGTCCTGCACGAACCGCGTGAGAATCAAGAGCGACAGCTCGATTCCCAGGAAGTCACGAGCGACAGCGAGAGCGCGACCCCTGAATGTCGAGGGCGCGGCTATTGAATAAATTGTGAGGACGTCCCACGCGAAAACGGGATTCCTTGACGCAGTGCCAGGAAGTCCCCAGCGACAGCGCGATTTGAGAATCAATTGTGCCAAGGTATCAGGCGGGAGCCGTTGCTGCTGTAGTTCGGGGGCGAACCACGCAGTTTGACGAGGAAGGTTTCCCCGAGATAAAAAATATGGCGCGAGCCTCGGGAAAAGGGTACTTCACATTAAAACCAATATGTTACCCGAGGGGGGATAACCCCATGACGTCCGCAACGACAACAACAATATTTATTCCGACGGTCGGACCCCGCATGAGAATCTGTTCAGGTTGCCCGTAGCCTTGTCCTCTTCGCCCTGGCGGACACCCCTTCTCGCCCTCTGCGCTGCCCGCTCTTCCTCCTGTATATATGTCTTTTCTCCTCCTCCTTCTCATGCTCCCCCTCCTTTTCCACCTTCTCCTGAAACCCGCGGGCCTCGAGGCAGGCGCGGCCGCGCTCGGGAGGGGGGCGGCGCGAAACCCAGCCGCGCTGCGAGTGGCTCCGCCTCGCCCATTGGGGTCGCCGCTTTCTCGCTGGACTTTTTGAGCGCCCCCCGCAAGGGCGCAGGCGGCCCGCGCTCCAGGAACTTGCGCGAGGGCGGCCGCAGGATCAGCGTGCTCCGCACGCGCGTGGCGCGGGGGACCATGATGTACATGCGCGGCCACCGCATCTCCTCAGACATGCCCGCGCGGCCAGCACCCTCGCCCCTCGAGCAATTGATGGCGAGGCCCTTGAACAATGTTTGGCCCTGCGACATCGCGGAAGTGACCTAGGGCGCGCGCGCCAGGGTGAACCGCGAGCGGCGCACGACGCGCGGCGCCGAGCTCTGCCACGTGAGCTCCTGCTCGCTGGGCCTGAACACGAGCGAACTCCTCGTCCACGCCTCGGCCTTGTCGTCGTCGTCGTCGGCGCTTTCAGCGCTCTGTCGCAAGAGCTCGGCGCCCTCCTGGTAGATCGGGGACTCCCTGAAGACGTGCACCTGCGGCCAGTTGCCCTGCGGTAGGTAGCGGGGGCGAAAAACGAAAGAGTTGGCCCGGCGTGCACTCGTCGTAGTCCATGCCCGCGAAACCCAAAACTGACGCTAATCGCAAGATTCGCATGACCCCGCTGGGATTACAAATGCAAGCCACGGGCCCCATAGGTAGGGGGCTCCCGCTTAAGATGTCCCCACAATTCACTCACAGACGAGGTCCCCGCTTGTTACATCCGCCAAATTCAACCCTCCGGCGTCCGACAAAGAACGACAGGCCCAAGTTTCCGATGCCTCGCTCCGACTACCTAATTGAAATGCGGGCCCCACAAGGAGGGGGCTCCCGCCTGAGGTTTCCTTGCAATTCAATCACAGACGAAGCTCCCCCTGGATACATCCTCCATATTCAAGCCTGGAGGGGCCAACAATGACGATACTTACAGGATCCCGATGGCCCGCTCGTAAGGAGGGTGCTGAGACTTCCCGACAATTCACTCACAGACGAGGCTACCGCTCGAGACTTCCTCTCCATTCAAACCTCCGGCGTCCGAAAATGACGACATTTCCAAGTTTCCGATGACGCGCTCGGACTACCTAGGTGAAGTGCGGGCCTCATAAGGAAGGGGCTCCCGCCTGAGATTCCGTCTCAATCCACTCTCTGACAAGGTTCCCGGATACCTTCTCCATATTCACGCCAGAGGAAGCCAAAAGTGCCGACAGCTACGGATTCCCATCACAGGCTCGGATTGATAACATGATCCGCGGGCCCCGTAGGAAGGGCACTCCCGCTTGAGACTCCTGACAAGTCACTTGCAGACGAAGTTCCTGCTTGAGACTTCCCCCATACTCAAGCCACAGGCTCCCGATGATCCGCTCGGATTGCCAACAAAATCTGCGGGTTTCACAAGGGGCTCCCGCCAAAGATTTCCTCACAATTCACTCACCGACGAAGCTACCGCCCGATACTTCCTCCATATTCAGGCCTGAAAAAGCCAACAAATGACGACAGTTACACGATCCCGACGACCCGCTCGGATTAGTAAGATGATCTGGGGGCTCCATAGGGAGGGGAGGGGGTTCCCGCCTGAGACTCCCTCGCAACTCACCGTGGTAGTTATGAGTAAGTGAGTGAGCCACTCAGGGGAAGTAAGTGAGTGGGCAGGATAGTGAGTGGGTAAGTCATGAGTGAATGGAAAAAGATCGAGGGAGTGTGAGTGACTGTCTACTTTGATGATGACGTGGTGGTGCTGAGGATGTGAGTATGTGAGTGTGTGGGTGAGTGGTGAGGGAGTGAGATCGGAGGAGAGATCCTGCGCGGGTGTGTGCAGTTATGTGGGTGACAGCAACAGCAATAGCAACAACAACAACAACAACAGCAACAAATTCAACTAACAACAACAACGTCAACGATAACAACATCAGCAGATGCAGCATTAACAATACCAACACCACCAACAACAATCCGCATCGCGGGTTCACAGGTCAACCACGCACACAGGGACAGTGAATGACCGTTCGGATCCCTCACACTGATGTAACTACAAGTATTTTTTGCGTATATATGTATATTGTTCGTTGTCACTCTATATTTTTTTGTTTGTTTTTTGTCTCTCTCTCTCTCTCTCTCTTTCTCCCTATACATACATATCTATAGATGTTCATATGTATACACATACGTGTGTGCACATGTCAATGTCAAACGCTGCGCGAGATCCTCGGGGTTGGCGTGTCTCCACGGCACCGGCGTCGCGAAAGTCCCCGGCGAGGGACGGCGACGGCGGCGGTCCGCGCCTCCGACGGTGAAGAGGTGCACCCGGACCGCAGGGTCGGACTCCCTCCTGCGGGCGCGCGAGCCCGCGCGGCGCCCGGGCGCGCCCGCGGTGGCTGCGCTCCGCGGGCCGCGCGCTCCGCGCCACCCCGATGAGCGGCCAGCAGCCACAGCCCGGACATCGTAGTTGCTTATGGTCGGGTTGCTGGAGCCAGGAACGACACATACGAGGAAGGGAGCCCCTCCTTGGCCCCGAAGAGCGCCTGGGCGCACGAGGAGGGCTGGAGGTACAACCAAGGAATGACCAAAGGAACAGCGAGCCCCTTCCGAACCCCACCTAGTCCTCATGTCGGCATCTTGGCTGCATCTTGTCTTTCCTCCAAGAAAGACAACCACACAATGGCTTTCGAGACGCGGAGCAGCAACCCACTAAACCAGCCAGGACTCCCACACAGCCCTTCATTCAGGGAGCGCGCACGAGAGGAACGGGAAAACAGCATCGAAGACAGCGGACGACATTCAGGAGGCAACGGAGAAGAAACACAAGGAAGACAAAAAGCAGGGGGACGCAGCGTAATCCTTCTTTTGCAAAGGTAGCGCGACGGTAATCGCCCCATTCTCTAGTCAGCGCGATGTTTGATCGCTTGCACCCAGGAGGTTGCTGGCGTGGGTGGAGCGTTTCTGGTCGGCGGCGACCGAGGGGGGGAAGTGAGAAAGAGAAGGTATTCTCAGAAGGTTGGAAAGTCCCCTGCTCACCGAGGATATGTTCTGCGCATTCCCCGAAAACCCTGGAAACACCGCCGCCTTCTGAAAGGGTCTTCTCCTTCTCACCTCTCTCCCTCGCTCGCCGAAGAGCTTGTGCCCAAGAGGTTTTGGGCGTGGTTCTGGGGCGTCTGCGGGAGTCCTGGGAGGGTCGGGAATGGTTGGCCGTGGTTGGGCGTCCTTGAGCTGTTGGGCGTGTCTGGGCGCGGTTGGGCGCCCTCGAGGTTCTGGGCGTGGATGGGCGAGGCTTAGGGCGTGATTGGGTCGTTCCCTGGAGGAGGTGGCGACCCCCCCCGCGGCGGCCCTCTCGGAACTGCCGCCCCCCCCCCCCCCCCCCCCCCCCCGCCACCCCCCGAGCGGGGGGGAGGATCCCTGCGATCGCCGCGGGAGGCTCCCGAGGAAGGCAGGGAGCCTCCCCCATCCGTGGGAGGCAGGGATCCCCCGAGGAAGGACCCCCGAAGATCCCAAGGGTCCCTGGGAGGACTCCTCCTCCTCCTCCTCCTCCTCCTCCTCCTCCTCCTCCTCCTCCTCCTCCTCCCTCCTCCTCCTCCTCCTCCTCCTCCTCTTCCTCTCCTCCCTCTCCTCCTCCTCCTCCTCCTCCTCCTCCTCCTCTCCTCCTCCTCCTCCTCCTCCTCCTCCTCTCCTCCTCTCCCTCTCCTCCTCCTCCTCCTCCTCCTCCTGTCCTCCTCCTCCTCCTCCTCCTCCTCCTCTTCCTCCTCCTCCTCCTCCTCCTCCTCCTCCTCCTCCTCCTCCTCCTCCTCCTCCTCCTCCTCCTCCTTGTCCTCCTCCTCCTCCTCCTCCTCCTCCTCCTCCTCCTCCTCCTCCTCCTCCCTCTCCTCTTCCTCCTCCTCCTCCTCCTCCTCCTCCTCCTCCTCCTCCTTGTCCTCCTCCTCCTCCTCCTCCTCCTCCTCCTCCTCCTCCTCCTCCTCCTCCTCCTCCTCTTCCTCCTCCTCCTCCTCCTCGGGGGCCCCAGAGGATACCAAAGGATCCCTGGGAGGACCCCCCTTCGTCGAGGATCTCGGAGGATCCCGAGGGAGGGAGGGAGGCTGCCCCCGAGAGAGGGGGGCGTCGCCATTGCTTCACGCCGGGCGTTCCCGCCTGGTCTCGGGCCCAGGGGTCGGGGACCTTCTGGCCCGGGTTCATCCAGACCCGGGCCAGGTTGGGCTCTGCAGGATCCTGCAAAAAATTCGCCGGCCCAACGGGCCAGAGGCGTGCTAAAATCTCCGGTAACTGGTTAACAATTCTCTAGTTCGCGCGCGCGGGGCGGCCCCTGGGGGTCCCTGGGCGGAAAGTACCCCGGCAAGGTCCTGAGAGAGTCCCGAGAGGAGTCCCCCAGAGCGCTCCAGGAGCGCTCCATGAGCGCACCAACAGGGCTCCGAGACGTCCCCGAGAGCCCCAAGAAAGGCCAAGAGGCCCCCAAGAGGCCCCCAAGATGGTACACGAGGGGTCCGACATGCCACAAGATCGCTCCAAGACGCCCAAGATAGCCCCCAGACGCCCCAAGAGGCCTCCAAGAGCACTCCCAAGAGGGCCCCCGGAGGCAAAATTCATTGTTTTTTCCTTAGGTTTTTGAGAGATTTTGGAGCTTCCACCTTTTCGGCTTCCCGACGCCCCAAGACGGCCCAAGAGGCCCCCAAGATCGCCCCAAGAGGGCCCAAGAGGCCCCCAAGAGGGCCCCAAGATGGCCCAAGAGGGCTCGAAGACGGCCCAAGAAGCCTCCAAGACGGTCCAAGAGGGCCCCAAGAACGCCCCCAAAGGGGCCCCAGAGAGGGAACACGAAACAACATTTCGAGCCCTCGGCCCTAAGAAGCCCCTACGAGGCCCCAAGAGGCTCCTAAGAGGCCCCAAGAGGCCCCCACGAGGCCCTCAGGAGGCCCCCAAGAGTCCCCCAAGCGGCCCCAGGAGGCCCCCCAAATGCCCCCCCGAGCGCCCCAGGAGTCCCCCAAGCGGCCCCAGGAACCCCCAAAGCGCCGCATTGACACCAGGCCCTCGGGCAAACGGCAGACATGAGACTGTATGGGCCGGCGGAATGAGCGAAGCGATTAAATTCTTAAGATCCTTCAAAATCCTGCACGCAAGCCCGGGTCAATGCAGCCCTGGCTCTGCAGGATCCTGCAACATCCGGCGCTCTGAGTGACCCCCGTTTGCATCGACCCCCGTCTTTTGAGCCCCGACAGAGCCCTCGATGGATCGGTCCAGCCCGAGGTGTGCCTCAGAGGGATGGGGGATCGAGGGGCCCCCCTGTCGGGACTCTACGCGGCGTTGCCATCCTTTCATGACGTCGGACCTCAGTGATCGAGGTAACAGGATGGAGGCTTCTGAATGTTTGGCCAAGCTACTCTTCTGCCTCTGGGGGCCTCCGGGACCACCAGCGGAGACATCCGAGGCCATCCAGAGGGTCCCAAGGGGGGCAAGCATCAGAGGAGGTTGGCGCTTGGCGAGCGCAGAGAAGCAGAGGGTCTTTCGGCAGGTTCGGGTCGTGACGACGTCCGCGTGGGTTCATGGCACCGCCCAGATCGTTAAACTTCGAGCGATCGGCGGCTTCCCGGTAGCGCAGATCGATCAATATCGGCCACTTCCGAGCCACTGGCGGCGTCCAACCTTGAACGCCCGCGCCGGGGTCGCCGCCGCGTCGACAGGACTGCCGCTCGACGATGGAGGGCGGCGGGGCCAGAACCAGCTGGATGCGGCAGATTTTGTACCCCCACCTCTTTTCCTGATCCCCCCCTGGCCATCGCTCGGACGTTCATTCCCTGTGCCTTTTTCGATGTCGTGCGTGGTTTTTCCGCAGGATGATCCAGGACGCTCCTTTCTAATCCCCACCGAAAAAAGTGCACACGTCCGAGCGATACCGCGCCCCCTTTCAGCCCGAGCCGACGAGCGCGTGCGAGCGCCACCCGAACACAGGACGACGCTCCGGGGCGACACAGGCCCCAGGGGCCGGCCCCTCCCCCGACGGGTCCTCTGTGGCGCAGAGGCCCCTGTGCCTCGCCTGCCCCAGCTTCGGCCACGTGCCTCCCGCGTCTGCCTTTGAGCGCGGCGGGGATTCCCAAAAAACCCAGGATTGCAAAAAAAAACCGGATTGCAAAAAAAAACAGGATTGCAAAAAAAAAACGGATTGCAATCCTGGTTTTTTTTGCAATCCTTGGTTTTTTTTGCAATCCGCTGCGCGGAGGAGGCCTGTGGCCCAAGACGGGGAACGACGACGAGGGGACGACGCGACGGAGAGCGGGGCGGGGCGGGCGGAGGGAAAGGGCGGCCCCTGCGCGGTCGACTCTCGCAGGCCGACGGTGCCACAAGGCCCGCGCGGAGGCGAGGGGCGCGCTGCTTTTCGTCGGCGGCCCGCCCCCAGGGGATGAGGGCCCCAAAGCAATCTCTCAAGGCGTGCCATGCGGCGGCAAGACTCCGAGGACGACGACGACGACGACGACGGCGACGACGGCGACAACGACGAGCACAGGGACGAGGACGAGGACCAGGACGACGCCGACGACGAAGAGGGCACGAGCAAAGAGGGGGCACGAACGACGAGGCGACAGGGAAGGGGACACCTGGGCAGTCTCATCATTCGGCGACGAGCCCGGGGGGGAAGTGAGAAGGAGAAGGCCTTCTCGGAAGGCTCGAAGTCGAAGTCCCCCGGCCTTCTGAGAAGTTGTCTGAGCCTTCTCCGAAGACGCACAAGCAACTTCTCAGAAGGCGCGAAGGCTTCTGAGATTTCCCGCCGACTTCTGAGAAGGCCTTCTCCTTCTCACGTCCCCCCCTCGCTCGCCGCCGCAGCGTGCTCCTCCTCCACTTCGCACCAGGGGGAAGGCAGAGGCGGAAGGTGCGAGGCAGGGACTTTCACGCATGACTATACTGCATCGAGGGGTCGACCTTCGGGGACGTCGGCCGGGGGCGCCCTTCGCTGGGCGCGAATCACTTGGGGGATCCATTGGGGCAGAAGACGGGTGCCATGTTTGCCGGGCCCGAAGGGCCCCCTTCTGGGCCCGGAAGGGCCGCGTTAGGGGCCCTACAGGGTCCCTTTCTGCAGCCCTCGCTGCCCCCAGGCATCCCCCCCACCACTATCCACCGCCCGCCGAGGTCCCCGAAGATTGAACCCCCAGGCGATGGTCATGGGCAGATCCCCGCCTCGGGGTTGGGACCGCCCCTCTCGGGAGGCGAAGGGGTTTCTCAGGAAGCCCCCTCGCCGTCCGAGGAGCCTTCTGCTCCGCACGGCATCCCCCCGTGGGTTCGAGGGGGGGACGGGCGGGCGCCATCGGGGGGGGGACTGGAGGGGATGGCAATTTTGAAGCTCAAGTTCCTGGGCCAGGGGGGGGGGGCGGGGGTCGCTCCGTCGGAAGGTCAGTCGCCTTCCCCCGATGATTATGCCATCCGGAGTGAGCCATTCCCCGAAGCCACAGACGGCCTCTTAGAGGGCGTGAGGGCTCCCGAGAAGCCCCGCCGCCTTCTGAGGAGGCCGGTCCACTCTGTCTTCCGCCCCGGGCCGGCAAGTGATCTGCGCGAACGTTCGCGCAAACGACCCCACTGTTTGCGTCGCTCATGCGGCGAGTTCCGGGAAGCCCTGCGTAATAAAGCATTGGGACCTCTCAGCTGCGCGCAATGCGGTGCGCGGTGCGCGGCTTGTTGGAGGCCGCGGGGGGGCCAGGTAGAAGCGAGCGAAAGACGCCACTGCCACCCCACGCTCGGCGATCGGGGGACCTTGGTGGGCCCGCACCCACAGGTCGCTCCGGCAAAGGGTCGCTCTCATGCGTCTCGCCGAGGCCTCTGATTGGTGGCACACCTCCTGGCCTCCGGCGGCCTCCGACGGCGGAGCCGCCCTCGTCTCACTTCCGCCGCCTCCCGCCGAGCAGGAGGTGCCAACTCCTGCGGCCCTGGAGGGCGAGCCCCCTGCTGGAGCGCCGCATGCGGCTGCGAGGCTGTCCTGCTCTGGGTGCCCGAGGTTGCGCGGATGACGCCAGCGCCGATCTTCTCCTCGATGACGGCCTGCGGGCCATGCGACTCTGAGCGTCGTGGCGCCGCGAGACGGACGTAATCACTGAACGCACGTGCGAAAATCGCTCGGCACGCCAGAATGCATGAGCGTCTAGCTTGTTCATTGCTTGCTCTGACTTGCTCGACAGACTGCTCAACCCATCCAGCTGAGGAAACAAGGCGAAAACCAAGCTTTCTGTTCCACAACGAAGCCGTTTTCAATGCCCGCTCTGCATGGCTCTGTCGGGTGGGTTCAACGGCCCAACGGCCCAATCCCCAAAGGCACCAACCGTAAGGATCCGCGCTAATCTTCAAAACGGCGACGACAGCTGAATTGTTGACGACATCAGGTTCAAATCCAGAGGAGGAAGAGGGAGGGGATGGAGGAGGGAGCAAAAAAGAGGAGGGAAATGCCCGACACACTATCAAAACAAGCTCGTGGGAAACACAACATTTGCTGGTGCTTGAGATTGTTACTTGGGACTCCCTCCACACTGCCTACCTCGCTCCATCCCTGACGCTCTGCTTCCCTCCCGGCTCGCTCCGTTCCTCCCTCTGTCCACGCACGGTCGCGTGCACACTCTTCGGGCGCAGCCCAAACTTCAGCTCGCGAGCTGCACTGAACTGACTGACAGACTGACTGGTCGCACCCGTTGGCAGGCTGTCGCGTGCTCGGCCGCGGGGTGCAAACCCTCTGGCGCAGCCAATACCAGGCCGTTCTATTCACGACCACCGAGTGCGCGCCCTGTGGAGCAGAGCTGAACCTAAACAGTGTTTTTCGTCCGCCTTTACCGCAAAACGAAATCGAAACGAAAACGACCCACGAAATCGCCAAAACACCGCTTAGGTCCAACCCTGCTGTGGAGTAGCCACTCGCAGGCCGCTGTATTCTGAGCCGCCGAATGTGCAAACCTGCGGCACCAGCAAGCTCAGGCCGTGATGTTTTCGGCCGACGGGGGCGCGACTGCGCGAAGTACGGCGCGACCAATAGCAGGCCGGTGCATTATCGGCCGAATGCGCGACCTCTGGCGCAACCGGTAACAAGCTTGTTGATGCTCGGCAGCAACGTGCGTAACCTAAGACGCGACCTATGGCGCACCCCGCGGATGGTGCAACCTACGGAGCAACCCACTCCTACGGCACATCCCATTGCGCACTTCGTAGATGGCGCAATCCACGGATCGCACAACCCATGGCGCAAAGAACTGCTGGTGCAACCAACTGCGCAACGCGCAATGCACGGATCGCGAAATCCACGGCGGAACCTACTGAACAAAACATGGGTTGCATACGATGGCCAGTTGACCGTCGGCCACTACTCCATGCCAGCCGAGCTGTCCCGAATGCCCTCGTTTTGGAGCGCGCTGCACAGGACGCTACATAGATCTGTTGCTCTAGCACAAGACGCTACGGAGATCTGTTGCTCGAAAAAGCCGTGCACACAGCAAAGCACTATGCGCCGCTCCCGCTGCCTCTTCGGCTGCGCTAGTCACGTCGATGGCTTCCTTCAACGTGTTTCTGATCAGCGACATCCGAGACCTTCTCCGAAACCTTAGTTGCAGGCTTCTTTGGCGCACTCATGCTGGTTCGCCGATCAAGCTTGGCCTGGAGAAAGCCGCTGGTGCATCTGCGAATGTACCCCCCGGTGCTCAGCAGACCCAGCATCTGCTGATAGGGGAACGGGAGATCACCAACTTCAAAGAGCTGCGAGTCTGGAGCTTCCTTGCAGCCGCATCCGCCACGACTGCCATGACCCGACCACTCCGACATGGACACGGACGAAGAGGAGTCAAGCTCGCTGATTGCGTCTGTGCTCTCACCCCGCGAGCCCGCACTCGCCATAGAACAAGCACTGGAGACAACTCGACAAGAAAAGGCTGCCCTCCCGCCAGACGGAAGTCGCTCGGTCGCACATATGCCGAGCGACGATTGCTGTGCCATGAACTTGCTGTGAGCTATTTTTCCGCTCCCCGAGCTGCCCCGGCACGATGGCGGCAGCACATCGTGTTGAGCACTGCGTGCTTCTCGCGCGCTCGAAAACTGCCTGAAGAGCACCACCCCATGCTTCAGTCCAGGACCACTACCGCGTCACGCGGGGCCAGCGGTAACCAACTAGATTGAGGGGCAACGATTGGGCAGAGGGGCCCGTGGGGGGAACCATCGGCCCGGAATCAGCTAAGCATCACCGATAGATTGGCGATATACCCACGATAGCTTTTCTTTGTCAAATTGGACCGAACCAGTTCAACAGCAGACACACGATAGCAAATCCCCACAGTCCTTGGCGGGGTGGGCTATCGGGCTCCTCTGTGGACAAGCGCGTCCCACTACTCGCAGGGGAACTACTCGCAAATGGCCTGGATCCGCCGCGGGGGATCTGCGTTCCATCACGTAGAGGAGGGCATGTTCTTTTTACGGACGCTTGCGAGTAGGCACTTTGAGAGTGGTGGAGCGCGCTCGGTGACTCTCGGCGATCAATGGGCGATGCGGGATCGATGCCCCCTAACGTTGCCCCTGATCCAAGGCGCCCAGCGGCGTCTGCGTAGGCCCTAGACTCCACGAGCGGCCGCCCTTCCCTTGTGTGCAGCACCGTGCAGCACAAGCATCGCTACCGAGCGCTGCCGTCTCATGCTCAGCACCCCACTGACTACCTACCAGACCACCCCAACCCAACCCGAAGAATCGAATTTGACCCGAATTTCGGGTTGGGGGGGGTACGGGCTCCATGTGATTTTTCAACGTTCCCCGACCCCCCCCCACTGGAAATGGAGGGCAAATTGAGGCCTTCGGGTTGGGTTGGGGTGGAATGGTAGGTGGTGGCCCACACTTCCCCCGCCCTCGAAAATCTGCGGGCCCGCGCCACCCGGTGCGTCAGTCCAGGTCTATCACTGCGCCGCGCGCGGGCAGGGTGTCCCCAGGCCCCCCGCGGCAGCTCGCACGCCACGCACAGCGACACCCCCCTCGTTCAGCAGCGCGCAGCGTGGGCACTGCCACGGAACGCCGCCTGCCGACGCGCCCGGCGTGCCGACGCGCCGCGCTCGGGCTTCATGCCCGCCCTGGGCGCCTTGCGCGGCGCCTGCGGCTCGCCAGCCGCCTCGGAGCCCACCCTCTTGGCCGCCCCGGCCCGGCCGCCCCCCGCCAGCAGCGCCATGACGTCCTGCGCCGCGCCGCCGTTCCGCCAGCCGCGGGCCTCTTCCGCCGCGCCGCTGGCCGCTGCGCCGCAGCGTCGCCGGCCGCCGGGCCGCGGCCACCCGCGGCCCGGAGCCCGTCCGCGGCCTCCCGCGCACGCCCCCCGAGGCCCTGGACGTCGGGCCTGTCGGGCGCCTGTCCGCCGCCCTGCCACCACTTCTGCAGCGCCGACACCACCGCCCTGCTGACCTTGGCTGTCTTCACCTCGTCCACGATCCTGTCGGGCCGGGCGAACGGGGGGGGAGAGCAAAGGGGGGGTTTGAGAATCAGCTCCCGTAGCTGATTGTCCCGGCGCCTCGCGGCGCCGGAGGCGGCCATGTATCGAGGAAGGGGCCCCTCGGTGGGGCCGAAACTAGCTGCATGCAGCAGATTTCGTAGCGCCCCCATTCCCATTCCCCCCCTTTCGTCCGGCCCGATCCTCGTGGGGTAGCCGCAGCCCGCCAGCGCCTCCGCAGCCCCACGGCGCCAGGGCTCCAGCGCCGCCGCCGGGGAGGGCGCGGCGCGCAGCTCGGGCACGTACCTGCGCACGAACTCGGCCTGCGGGTCCTGCTCCTTGGCCTGCTTGGTGGCGCTGTAGCAGCGCAGGTCCACGCCGGTCGTGCCGGCCTGCATCTGCAACTGCGGATAGCCCGGCCGCGCGCAAGAGTGACCCGATAGGCAGGAGTGACAACGCGTGGTGCGAGGCTCTGGGGGGCCGCAGGAAGGGGGGGCGAGCAACTCAAAGCGCGCAAGCCAGTGCCTTGGGGACGTCTGCGAGTCCGCGCCAATCCGTCGAGGGGTCACCCTCTTACGCGTAGCCGAATAGTGGATGCCAGGCTCGTAGTCCAGAAAGCAGCGCGCCATGTGCGCCGCCACGGCGCGCCAGTCCAGCCAGAGGTTGTACACCGCGAAGGAGACAAGCATGCAGCGCATCCGGAAGTTGAGCCAGCCGGTCTCCAGGAGGCAGCGCATGCAGGCGTCCACCATGGGGTAGCCCGTGCGGCCCTGCTCGAAGGCCGCTAGCCGCTCCTCCTCCGTGGTTCCATTCAGAACCGCAACATCGCCGTACACTACAGTGCGCCCCTGCCTGAGGTCCTCCCAGGCTTGGCAAAGCCACCGGTGCTCCTGGGGAAACCAAAAGGTACCGATACCGCTACTCCCTAGACCTCTCCCAGGGTGCTTGCTGACCAGGAGTTCGAGGCGAATCCAGCGGTGGCGACGAGATCCTCCCAGGAGGCCCGAAAAAGGGAAACATGAGGGACTGGTAGCGGTATGGGTACCTTGTTCATCCTCCGAGCTCCATCCAGCACTCCATCTCGAAGCGCTGCAGGTAGCTGCAGCGCCACTGGGTGCGCACCAGGAAGGCGTCAAGCGACCTCTTCCACTTGCCCTGGGCGGTCTGGCGCCGTGCCTCCACGTTCTGCCACACCGTCCGCAGCGAGATGTGCCCCCAGGCCAGGTAGGGCGACAGGCGGCTGCACGCCGTCCAGGAGCTGTTCGGGGAGGAGATGCCCCCCGAGTACTTCTCCGCCCTCCTCGTCGGAGGCAAATCGTGGGCGACTCCCGTACCAGCCTACTGGCTCTTGCGGCGTTTGTCGACGCTGCATCGACGCTAGTCGCCATCACGCTCATCGACGCTAGTCGGCGCTTTTAGTCGGCGCTACCTAATCCATTACCGGACGCTAATCCACGCTGGTGCGCCATGATTTACTAACGAGCCCCCCTCTCTTGGTATTCAGTTTTCTGGCTGTGGATGGGGCGGGGACACCAAGCCGCCCCTCGAGGTCCGAGCATCCCGAACCGGAGCGCTACACGTACATGAGGGTAGAATGCCAGTTCACAATCCGGAATCATCGTGGAAAAATTATGCTAACGGAGTTCCCCACATAAAGAGATGAACGGTTTCGCGGGACCCATTTTCTTGATGCCCTCCTCGCTTTGGCGGGGCCCCGCTGGAAGGGGGGAGGGCTACGAAACCTGGCGAAGAGTAATGCTTTCCGCGACCCTCCTCGTTCAAGCGCGGCCTCTCTGGAGGAGTGGAGGGGGGACACGAAACCGTGTAAACAGCATGTTTTCCGATACCCTCCAGGAAGAGGAGGAGGAGGAGGAGGAGGAGGAGGAGGAGGAGGAGGAGGAGGAGGAGAAGGAAGAGGATAAGATGGATGATGGTGAAGAGCAGCAGCAGGAACCGCAGCAGGAGCAGCAGCGGGAGGTTGGTTTGAGTGGTTTCATTTTCCTCGTGAGGTCCGAAGGTTGGAGGAGCGGGAGGAGCACGAAACCTTGTAAAAAGTATGGTATGCCGATACCCTCCTCGTTCAGGCGGGGCCTCCCTGGAGGGGCGGGAGGGGCACGAAACCGTGCAAATTGTATGATATGCCGATACCCTCCTCGCTCAGGCGGGGCCTCCCTGGAGGGGCGGGAGGGGCACGAAACCTGGTAAATAGTATGGTATGCCGATACCCTCCTCGCTCAGGCGGGGCCTCCCTGGAGGGGTGGGAGGAGCACGAAACCTGGTAAATAGTATGGTATGCCGATACCCTCCTCGCTCAGGCGGGGCGTCCCTGGAGGGGGGGAGGGGCACAAAACCTTGTAAATAGTATGTATGCCGATACCCTCCTCGCTCAGGCGGGGCCTCCCTGGAGGGGCGGGAGGGCCACGAAACCTGGTAAATAGTATGGTATGCCGATACCCTCCTCGCTCAGGCGGGGCCTCCCTGGAGGGGCGGGAGGGGCACGAAACCTGGTAAATAGTATGGTATGCCGATACCCTCCTCGCTCAGGCGGGGCCTCCCGCTGGGGAGGAGGCGAAACCACGAAATAGGCCTAGTATGGTATGCCGAGGCGGGGCCTCCCTGGAGGGGTGGGAGGGGCACGAAACCGTGTAAATAGTATGGTATGCCGATACCCTCCTCGTTCAGGCGGGGCCTCCCTGGAGGGCGGGAGGGCCACGAAACCTGGTAAATAGTATGGTTTGCCGATACCCTCCTCGCTCAAGCGGGACCTCCCTGGAGGGGTGTGAGGGGTACGAAACTTGTAAATAGTATGGTATGCCGATACCCTCCTCGCTCAGGCGGGGCCTCCCTGGAGGGGTGGGAGGGGCACGAAACCGTGTAAATAGTATGGTATGCCGATACCCTCCTCGTTCAGGCGGGGCCTCCCTGGAGAAGCGGGAGGGGCACGAAACCTGGTAAATAGTATGGTATGCCGATGCCCTCCTCGCTCAGGCGGGGCCTCCCTGGAGGGGCGGGAGGGGCACGAAACCTGGTAAATAGTATGGTATGCCGATACCCTCCTCGCTCTGGCCTCCCGGGAGGGGTGGCAGGGGCACGAAATCTGTGGTATGGTATGGTACGGTATGGTATGGTGTGGTACGTATGGTGTGGTATGGTATAGCATGTGCGGTAGGTATGGTATGGTATGGTAGGTATGGTATGGCATGGTACGGTATGGTATGGTAAGGTATGGTATGTGCGGTAGGTATTGTATGGCATGGTGGGCATGGTATGACATGGTACGGAATGGTATGGTAAGGTATAGTATGGTATGTTAGGTATGGTATGGTGTGGTACGGTGTGGTATTGGTCAGAGAGTCCTGGTATGAGGACATGTAATGGTATGGTATAGGATGGTATGGTATATTACGGGTAGGGACAAGATATGGTATGGTATGGCATGGTATAGTTTAGTATGGTATGCTATGGTATGGTATAGTATGATATAGTTTAGTATTTTATGGTATGGTATAATTAAGTTTGGTATAGTTTAGTATGGTTTTGGTATTGGTATGGTATGGTATGGTACAGCCTAGTATGGTATGGTATGGTATTGGTATTGGTATGGATGGTATGGTATGGTATGGCATAGTTTAGTATGGTATGTTATGGTATGGTATGTTATGGTATAGTTTAGTATGTTATGGTATGGTATAGTTAAGCTTGGTATAGTTTAGTATGATATTGGTATTGGTATTGGTATGGTATTGTATACGGTACGTTATGATACGGTACAGTTTAGCACGGTATAGTTTAGTATGGTATGGTATGGAATAATTTGGTATAGTTTAGTATGGTGTGGTATGGTATATTTTAGTTTGGTGTAGTTTGGTATGGTATAGTTTAGTATGGTGTAGTGGACGGAGGGAGGAGGAGAAGGAGAAGGAGAGGGTGTTCTGGGAAAACAAGAACCCCACTCAGAATGTGGGGAAAAAACGCTCCTCCCCAGGAAACGATATGGCAGCGTTAGCGCATGGGCTAAGTATAAGCGACACGTGCGCAAGCCACCAAACAGGCTTTTGCGTGCTTGTTGTCTCTGAGGGATTCGGGAAGTCGATCTTCCCCTGCCCTCGCCCACCCACGGCAATCCTCAAAGAAGAAGCAACTGCATAAACATCAATGGTTTGGCGCTCCGCGCGGATTTCTAAATGCGCTGGACCCCCCTCCCTGGCGAGGATCGCGCCAGGGGCGGTGCCGGAGGCGCCGCCAGGGGGTGCCCCAGCGCGGATCCAAGAAATCAGCGTGGAGCGCCATGAGTTTAACTATGCTTATGGCGTTTTTCCGTCTTCTAACCTCCCCTGCCCTCGCCTCCTCCCCCATGGCCATCCCGCCGATCCTCTCCAGGAAGCTCGAGAGAATATCCACGGCGCGCGACTCGCCCCCGCCTTGGCGCGCCGGGCGGTCGCCCGCCTGGGCCGCGGGCAGGCCGAGCTCGCCGACGGGGACCGGCCCAGGCTCCCCGGCGGCGGGCCGCCGGAGCCGGCCCAGCGCGGCGCCGCGGTCGAGGCCGAACGGGCTGCAGGAGGACGCCAACTATCACGATCAAGGAGGCTCAATCTGCTCCTCCTCCTCCTCCTCCTCCTCCTCCTCCTCCTCCTCCTTCTCCCCCTCCTCCTCCTCCTCC